GGCCAAAGTGCTCGCGTTCATCTATCGGCAGGGAGTTGCGAATAGCAAAGCGAGCGTGGGCGTCACGAGTCTGCCACTGTGAGCGGGTAGAGCTGTCAGCAGTAGTAGCAGGTGCAGTGGCATGGCCTAGGGCGTGATCGTACAGTGAGATGTCCTCCTTGGCAGTGAGCTGTAGGAAGAGGTGCAGGTCATCTAGCCAGGTGTCAAACTTCACTGGGCGGCCCTCAGCATCGAAAGCTAGCACAGGTTGTCTAGCCATGGGAGCAGTAGGAGCAGCAGTAGCAGTAGCAGTGGGAGCACCCTAGAAGCCGTAAGCAGTGTGAGACAGGTAGGGCGGCTCAGTCCAGAGGGGCTGCTCAGTACGGGCGGCACCTCGGTTCAGGTAGGGCGGCGCGGCTCGGGTAGGGCGGCGCGGCTCGGTTCGGGTCGCGCGGCTCGGCTCGGACTGGGCGGCTCGGTTCGGGCAGCTCGGTCCTGGAGGGGCCGTGGCGGTCGCACGTGGGGCGGCTCGGTTCTGGTGGGGCCGACTGGGCCACTTGAAGACTGAAGGTTCGGGATGAACAAAGTGCATGAGGAATGTGCAAGTGCAGTGGTGAGCATACAACAAGCCACATGAGCCACCTTCTCATCGTCCATGACCCACAGATCATGCCATGCTAAGTCCGTCCGCTTGAAGACTGTGAAGAACACATGTATTGCGTTATGGCTCATGATGGCTTTCTCATCGTCCATGACCCACAGATCATGCCATGCCACGTCCGTCCACTTGAAGACTGCGAGATGGCAATGAGGGTAAGTGGATAAAATTTCACAGGATCATGCCACGCCAGGTCCGTCCACTTGAACACTGTGAAGAACACATGTAATACGTTATGGCTCATGATCGCTCATGATTGCTCATGATGGCTCATGATGGTTCATAGTGGCTCATGATGCTCATGATGGTTCATGATGGTTCATGATGGCTCATGATGGCTCATGATGGCTCATGATATGGCTCAAGGTCACTCATGATGTCCCATAATATGTTATGGCTCAAACCACATGATTTATGGCTCAAGGTGATGGGGCGTGCTGATGGGGCATGCTGATGGGGCATGCTGATGGGGCATGCTGATGGGGCATGCTGATGGGGCATGCTGATGGGGCATGCTGATGGGGTATGCTGATGGGGCATGCTGATGGGGCATGCTGATGGGGCATGCTGATGGGGCATGCTGATGACGCATGCTGATGACGCATGCTGATGACGCATGGATCATGTAAGCATGCCATGGCAGCCATGCCATGTCACACCCGCTTCATTCACTGATGAGAGTGAGAAAGACATGGGTTAAGAGGTATGCATAGGGGCGACTCATGCATCATGGTGCGTGGCGGACCCTGATTCACAAGCCATGGCTAATGAGGCACTATCTGTGACTATCCATGCATCAGGGTATGCAGCAAATGTGGAACAATTTCGCAGAACCAGAATGAACTAGAGCATTCCAAGGGATGGTGAACTCATTGCCCGAATGGGTGGAAGCAAGAGCGGGTAACAAACGAAGATGACTGCCAAACAAAAGGACTCAGCATTATGACTGCAGTGCAGAATAAGCAAAATTGGCGATATATTACAATCACCTGTGCTTGCTGCAGCCAGGCAGCTGCGCAAATTGTTACGAATCGTGAAAACCTGTTCTATAGTGCGATAGGTTGACCAGCCCTGGCGACTCACCAGTGCTTGCTGCAGCCAGACGGTTGTGCGTGGAGAGGAACGGGAGGGGGGGACGCGCGGAGGGGGGCGGAAAAGGGCGGGGAAGGGCGGGGAAGGGCAGAGAAGGGCGGGAAACGCGGGGAAGGGCGGGAAGGTCGGGGCGACTCACAAGTGCTTGCTGCAGCCAGCCAGCTGCGCATAGAGAGGAAGAGGATGGGGGGACGCGCATGGGGAAGGGCAGAGAAAAGCGGGGAGGCGCGGCGAAGGGCGAAAAGGTTGGGGCGACTCACCAGTGCTTGCTGCAGCCAGACAGCTGCACGCGGAGAGAAAGGGGAGGGGGAGACGCGCGGGGAAGGGCAGAGAAGGGCGGGGAAGTGCGGGGGAGGGCGGGAAGGTCGTGGAAGGGCAGGAAGGTCGGGGCGACTCACCTGAGCTTGCTGCAGTCAGGCAGCTGCTCATGGAGAGGAAGGGGAGGGGGGGACGTGCGAAGAAGGGTTTTTGAGTCGACTCAAAATGACTTTTGAGTCGACTTGAAAGTCAGCTTTTGAGTCAACTCAAAAGACAGCTGCGCATGGAGAGGAAGGGTATGGGGGGACGCGCGGGAAGGATGGGAAGGATGGGAAGGATGGGAAGGATGGGAGTTATGGTGGTTCAGAAAGATGTTAGTGTGAATGCGAAACGAGGGACGAGTGGGGAACGACGAGGAGAAGAAAGGAGGGGACGTGAGATGGGGAGGAGGGACGTGAGATGGGGAGGAGGGGACGTGAGATGGGGAGGAGGGGACGTGAGATGGGGAGGAGGGGACGTGAGATGCGGAGGAGGGGACGTGAGATGGGGAGGAGGGGACGTGAGATGGGGAGGAGGGGACGTGAGATGGGGAGGAGGGGACGTGAGATGGGGAGTAGGGGACGTGAGATGGGGAGGAGGGGACGTGAGATGGGGAGGAGGGGACGTGAGATGGGGAGGAGGGGACGTGAGATGGGGAGGAGGGGACGTGAGATGGGGAGGAGGGGACGTGAGATGGGGAGGAGGGGACGTGAGATGGGGAGGAGGGGACGTGAGATGGGGAGGAGGGGACGTGAGATGGGGAGGAGGGGACGTGAGATGGGGAGGAGGGGACGTGAGATGGGGAGGAGGGGACGTGAGATGGGGAGGAGGGGACGTGAGATGGGGAGGAGGGGACGTGAGATGGGGAGGAGGGGACGTGAGATGGAGAGGAGGGGACGTGAGATGGGGAGGAGGGGACGTGAGATGGGGAGGAGGGGACGGGAGATGGGGAGGAGGGGACGTGAGATGGGGAGGAGGGGACGTGAGATGGGGAGGAGGGGAGGAGTGGAAGCAGGAATAAGTGACTGAAACTATTTGAGCTAATAAGCGGTCTGGAAAGAAACGAAATTACGCGTCCAGTGTTTCCGGGATTTAGGGTACACAGGAATAGTAGGAGCAGTGATAACAATAATCCGAGTCCACTAGGAGCAGGGAAAATGAAATCACGCACACCGCGTGTTAGCGTGAAATCACGCAGTTAATGAGCTTCCTCGCGTACGACTCGTTCGGAACGAACGCTGTCACCGCGTAGCGTAGCACGAACGGCGCCTCGGGAATTCCAATGGCTCGGGCTCGCTGATGCACGGTGAAAACGCGGATTCCGGCGGTTTCTTCGCTGGTGGAATCCGACTGCCAGCAGTGCTGCCGCCATCGCTCTTGACTCAGGAGTCTTAAAGCTTCAAGCTGATTGACAAAAAAAAAAAAAAAAAAAAAACACGGTAATTAGGAAAAATCGTACGATTGAAATCGGTCGCAGAACTCGGATCGCCGATCCCCTGCTTGCGCGCTCAGGTCGCTGTCCGACAGGACTCATATTCGCTACTTCACTGGAGCACCGGCAAAACGAGGGTTATATTTTGAGGGTTGGCTGAACCCGTAAGCCCCACAGGCGTTACAAAGAACCATCTGAGTCAAATCGCCGCGCACTCAGCCGCGCGCTCAGATCGCCGCGCGCTCAGTTCGCCGCGCACTCAGATCGCCGTCCCACAGGCCGACGCGACGAACCATTCGCGCCGCCGTTGGTGTCGACCTCGGCGCCACGGCAGCGCCGTTCCAAAAAACGTCAGAACATCACGGTAAAGCTGCGTGACAGGCAGGCTACAAGGTTACCGGGTCCAGTGAGACTCGCCTCCTAGTTCCTACGAAGCGAGGTCGCAGCAACTGACGGCCTTACTATGATCCGCCTGAAACGGTAAGGGTAAGGTAAGGAAAAGACCGGAAAGAACCGTCAGTGGAATTCACTTCGAAGAGTCTGCTGAGGCAAGGCAACATCATCTCGCGCGCGCGGCCTTACGAGAGTTGCCCGGATCGCGGCAGGTTAGGACGGCGCGACGACGATGTCGAAACGGATACCGCCTTTCCCCGTCCGAGCAGAAAACAAGGCGGAAAGCAAGGCGGGCAGCACAGCACCTTCCGTTGTCCTGCATCGCTGCAGCTGCGGACGGACGGCGAGGCGACAAACCTTTCATACGACCTTTCAGATAGAGGCGAAATCGATTGCTAAGCTTGTCCCTATCGCTTGCACAGCCCTTGCTGCTAGCGCTGTCCCTACGGCGCAAAGAAATGTTAACGCGCGAGGAAGCTGGCGGTAACATTCTTCTGCCACGTGCCATGTCCCTGGCTCTCTGGCTTCTGCTTCCTTGACTGGACGCTGTTCGGCAGGCACTGGTTTCCTACGGAATCAGCCTTCTACAGTCCCGAGGGACCGTTTGGATATTTTGTCGTTTCTGCAACGACTCGATTTCACGAAACTTCTTCAGATTGCTGCTTGTAATTCTGTCGCCCTGGGAGTTCGTCGGTGTTCGCCTCCGTGATTTGTGTGCCGTGGGGTTCGCTCGCCAGGAGTCGCCCTTTGGGGCGAAATCCGTAGACATCGAGCCGCCCAATAGCAATTGCGAATGCCATGACAGTGCGGATCGGTGTCCCGCTCCAACCATTTGACTCGCACGGCATTTTCGAGCAAGCAGATTCTGGACTGGAGGTGCACCATCGCCGCAAATTATGGTGGTTACGTCTTCTTCAGGAAACCATTCACGATACACTACCATGACTCGCGGACTTTCGCCCACATATATCCAATTTCATGCTTGTTGATCCCTACCCTACAAAGGCCTTGTTCGGCTGGCACTAAGTACAGTGCCTGCGTTCCATTTCGAAGTCTCTCACCTCCAGCACCAATCCACACAAACTTGAGACTCCCTCAAACTTCGCTCCCACCAAGCCAAGCAGCAGAGTCAGATAGTAGAGGGAGAGAATGTCGTCCTTCCGCGCTTTCATGCGACTTGGGCGACTCAAGTTCATTCCGTACTCGTCAATGCTCGCACTCATGGGCGCACTCTCACGCGATATCAGCCACCACCACCGTCGTCACCACCACGACTCGTGGTTCAGTTTCCCCGCGAGCTTCGTTCCCGTGGCGCTGTTTGTGGCGTGCACGCACGTCATGACGCATTACTATAACGAATACTTCGACTACGAGGCCGATCTAGCGAACAAGCAACGCGGAAAGTGGAATGGCGGCTCGGGCGTGCTTCCCGAGGGCCTGCTGCCGCGCTGGCTGGCGCTCGCCGCGGCGAACGTGCTGCTCGTCGGGAGTGTCATCACGCAGCTCGCCTTCTTCCGAACCCCCGCACAATGCGTCGCGTGCGCGACGCTGTTCCTCTCGTGGGCATACACCGCGCCGCCATTTAAGCTCCACTATCGCGGCTTGGGCGAAGCAACCGTTGCCGCGGTGCTGACGTGCAGTGTCCCGGTGATGGGCGCGCTGCAGAGCCGCGGCGACGACGCGTTCGTGCTTCCCACGTCGCTGCGCGCGATCATCCCGCTGCTGTGCGCGCAGCAGATGGTGCGGATGATGATCATGAATCTCCCCGACATCGACTCCGATCTCCAGTGCGGCAAAATCACGTTGACCGCGCAATTGGGGCCGGAGCGGGTGGCGCGTTTGTATAGATTCACGCAAAATGCGGTTGGTGTTATGGCTGTTATCCTGTTCGCGTGTGGGCACATGACGTGGCCCGTGCTGATCGCTTTTCTCGTCGCCACGACCAAGGGGATCAGTTTGGCGCGTCGCTTAGATGGAATCGTGTTTGCCGTCGCTGGGATTGCGACAAATTCCTCCCGCAACAACAAAAAATACGACGGCGCCGCGTCTCATCATACAGCTGCGGGAAAGCCCGTGAATACTACCATGCACTTTGGGGATCTCCCGTACCAGGCCACGATCCACGTGGCGTCGACGGCGCTGATGCTGGTCCTAGCGCAAGCAGTGGTGCTGATGATGCATTGAGTGCAATCCTGCCATCGCGGGGAAGCGCTCAGGGGCAAGGGACAATATCATCCAAGTAATATAATTGTACATATTCTTAGAGCTTGGAGTGGTATTGTGTTATACAGCTACTATACCCTGTAGTGGGTGCAGGAATCTTGGGTACCAGTAGACGCGTTCTTCTTTGCATTGTCTGTTGCGCATCTACCGTACCAGGCGTTTTGCCAGTGCAAAATTCCAATCCAAACACTTGTGTTGTGATATCGAAAAGCTACCACTGGTACAAGCAGCAGCTGCCGTTTGCAAAACGCACAGCTTTTGAGGTAAAATACCGGCACAACAGAACAATACCGGCAGATGCTTGTCAACTAGGGAGATGCATCCCGGAATCCCAGTATGATCTAAGAACTTCAGCCCAGATCCACGACAGGTCAATCTTAGTCAAACGAGGTCAAAGCAGGTCAACTCAGGTCAGAGCAGGTCGAGCAGCATGTGGTAGAGCATCCTGGTCCACTCATCCGGTGGCCCTGGCAGGCAATATTGCAGACAATCCGAGGGCGGCCGAATGTGTCCATCTGGTCTCAAAGCGGTCATAGGGTCGACATCAAGGAACACGCCCCCAACAGCCTTCACCAGCCGCTTAGCCCACTCGTTCTGGGCGGCAAACTCTCCCCAGTGGTTGGGTAGGGACGAGGGGTCTTGGCGCTCTGCGATTGGTGCTAGCAGCTGGTCGCAGTGTGCATGGCCGGGCGGCGTGCTTCGGTAGATTATGAGGAGGTCCGGTGCTGCGGCTCTCACTTTGGTGAGGGTTTCGTTCAGCTGTTGGATGAACTTATCATCCTCCACAAAGTGCGACCCGCGATTCAGTATAAGCACTGAGATGTTACTGCTGCTGTCGTTGCTGCTGCTACTGCTACTGGAGCTGCTACTAGAGGGGACAACCTTGATCTGGTCGAACCAGGGCAATGAGAGGGTCGATGCGTCCGCAGGCCCGGCAGCCGGATCCTGGGCTGCAGGGTCGGTATTGGGCGGCGAGGTTCGGAGCACGTCGTCTCGAACGAAGAGGACAGACGCGGAGTCGCCGAACGTGAATTGGGTGCAAACAGGAAAGTCCTGCTGCTGCCTTAGGTCCAGCCTGGCACAGAAATCCGGAACCTCATCCCGCACCATAATCCGATGTTCCAACCCCTCGTACCCACCCCCTCCTCCTCCCCTTCCACTCCCTGCTGCTCCTCCCCCTGCTGCTCCTCCTCCCCCCGTCCCTCCCCCTCCTGGCATGAGCATGTGGTTGCGGAGGGACAGAAACAGCATCGCGCTCGTCTCATCCCCCACCATCAGCACCCTCCGCCCTGCCAGCCTCTCCGCCAGCGCACCCCTCTCCACCGCACCCCACCGCCCGCACCTCCTGTGCACCCTCCACCTGTACTTCGCCGCGTCCCGAACCTGCCACTCGCGCGCATGCCGAGCCTCGTCAGCCACAGCATCGGCAGCGGCGAAGGCCAGGTTGCCGGTTTCAGAGGCCTGGCGGGACCAGGCAGCATCGCACTCCCAGCCGGACCAGCCCTTTCGAAGTTTAAACCATGGGAGTTGGCGCGGGACCGGGTCCGAATCCCAGATGCCCTGGGTGGCGAGGCACTCGTAGCGCTGCTCAAATGATTTCAGGGCGTGTTCAGTGAGGAGGGTCGACCCCGGGATGACGGGCTTGGGTTGGTCCGGTGCTGCTGGTTGTTGCTGCTGCAGGTCTTGGCTGGAAAGGGGTTCAGTAGAGGTGTTGGCGGTTGCAGAAGCAGCGGCAGTTGCAGCAGCGGCGGCTGTAGCAGTAGCAGCGGCGGCTACAGCTGCTGCTGCCCCCGGCCCTCCCTCATCCGCCCCCACTGCCACACTCACTGCCCTGCCGTGTGCGGCTAGGAGCTCCTGACATGCGGTGAAGATGCTTGACGATGGGTTGAGAGCGGTGAGAGCGGAGGAGGAGTGGGTGGAGAGGGAAGAAAGGGGGGAGGAGGGCGGGGCGAAGTGGGAGACTTGGGTGGTGGGGGAATGGAGGGATGACCAGAGGAGGAAGAGGAGGAGGAGGGTGAGGGAGGAGAGGAGGGGAGCGACGAGTGGGGGAGGGAGGCGCGAGAGGGAATGCACGCAGAAGAGATGTGCCCTGCCCGCCTGCACGTGTGCCCTGGCGAGAAGGTCATGGGCGTATCTGATGAGGAAAGGGGGCAAAGGGATGAGGTGCGAGGGTGAGGGGAGGGAGACGGAGGGGGCATGAGGGGAGGGAGGGCCTGATGATACAGCAGCACGCAGAAGAGATGTGCCCTGCTCGCCTGCACGTGTGCCCTGGCTACCAGGTCATGGGCGTATCTGGTGAGAACGAAGGGAGCAAGGAGGTGGTGTGGTGGAGGGAGGGGGGATTGAGAATGAAGGCAGCGGTGGGGAGGGTGGCCGCGGGAGGCGTGAGAGGGAGTGCGCGTGTGAGAAGAGATGTGCCCTGCTCGCGTGCACGTGTGCCTTAGAGAGTAGGTCATGGGCGAATCTGATGAGGAAAAAGGGTGGCAAGGGGGAACGTTGGGAGGAAATGGAAGGGGGATGCGGGGAAGGGAGGGAGAGCCTGATGCGGCAAGAGCATGCAGACGAGGTGTGCCCTGCCCACCTGCACGCGTGCCTTGGCAAGCAGGCCATGGGCGAATCGGATGAGGAAACAGAGGCAGCAAACGGTGGGTGGGATGAGAGCGGGGGGAATGGAGGGAGGGAAGGACGTGATGAGACAAGAGCCATGTAGAAGAGGTGTGCCCTGCCCGCCTGCACGCGTGCCTTGGCAAGAAGCCCATGGGCGAATCGGATGAGGAAGAAGAGGGGCAAGAAGAAGTGTTGTGGGGAGAGGAAGGGAGAGGGGGTAATTCGAGGGTTTAAGGGGGCTTTGGTTGCAGAAAGAGGTAGTGCACGCACAAGAGATGCGTCCTGCCCCCGCCTGCACATGTGCCCTGGCAAGGTTGCACCTGGTGAGAAAAAAGAGGGGGGGTCGGGGGGAAGGTGGGAGAGGGGGGGGGGGGGGGGAAGAGGGGGGGAGATGCGGAGGGGGGGAAGTAAGTGCATTGCGCCCAAGCAGCTTTGCAGGTGCCCGAAAGGCGCATGAAAACGTGTTTGTTCTCCAAAAGCCTTTTTCCCTTACCTTCCATTGCAGCGCACTCGCATTCACAATCATATTCGCATTCACATTAGCAGGCGTGTACGGAGATCCAGTGGGAGCTTTCCCCCTTCGTATAAGTAATCTGACTCGTTTTACCCTTACATTTTCACGGACTCGAATGTGTTCGCGCTAAAGAGCTCCCCGCTTTGGTACTTGCGCCAGACGGCCCCGACATTGTTCTTCGCCGTTTCGTACGAAAGCATCGCCCAGCGCTGCAGCTGCATCGCCGCGTGACTCGTCGCCAGACGTCGCACGCCTCGCACGGGGTCATCCACGCATTCGCGAAACGCGTGTCCGACGCTCTCCGTGCCGCCACGTGGACTGCCTCCTCCATGTCGCGCCGTTGGCGCCATGACTGTTACCTTCTTCCCCCACACACTGAATCCACAAGAAATAAGACTGTACCGCTTCGCAGGATCAGGGTCTAAACACTTATACGAAACAATTAGTCTATCGATATCTGTAAAACGCACCTCAAGGAATATTCTATCCGTTCCCCTCACAAAGGATAAGCTTGTATACCCGCGTCGGAGCTTGCACAGATTGAAGCTTACGATGGTTACCAGCAGTGCTAAATAGACAGCTGCTGTAGGTAGAGACGCCGAGCGCTCACAAGAGGTGGAGTGCGGTTCTACTGGCCGCAGGCGACGGGGGCGGCTGAGATGCTGGAGTTTGATAATGTAGTCAACTGTAAGGTAGACATACCGTTCAGAAGGTATTTTCTCAAGACAAATTTGTGGAAACCAGAACTTCAACGCTACCTACAACGTCAACTGTCAGTCCATGAAGTTACCAGCGCATACAGCAGCAGTTACAGCTTAGTCGATACCTTCGGTACGTAGTTCGGATTCGAAATGCAGCCAATTCAGCTCGTCACGGCAGCCGATCGGCACACATCATAAACCATCAGTCTACGACCTTAGTCGGCGTTCTGCCAGTCGTTTTGCGCAACAGCCTCCAATGTAGCACCTCATTCATGAGGTAAGCTAACCGTTTACTAGCGAAAGAGGAAATAGCTGGAGGAGCGTACTATTTTTTCACCTACCAATGGTAGGTGACGTCACGTAGTTCTGGTTCGGCTTCAGGAAGGGAACGATCTCCTGGTTGGTTGGCTAGTGTGTGATCGAGGATGTGTCTGTATCCATGTACGGCAGCCACCCCAAAACTACAGTGCCGAATACACTCGCATTCAAACTCACTAGTATCGCGATCGCACTTTTATTCTACAGATTATATAGCGTATGAAGAAAACATGTTGTCATGAACACCAACAGCTTGATTAGTCATCACTATCTAACAAATATTCCACAGATATAGCATATAGTTATTGTCAAACATAACAACACATCACATCACATCAATTCGCCTCAATGCTTGAAGCGACAGCTCGACCCGTTTCGACAAAACCCTCTGGCAAAGAACCTACACGCAAAACGATCACCCTCCCCTCCTCCGCTCCCACCACCCCCAAACCTTCCACTACCACCACCACCACTCCACTCATCACCCCTCGCTCTCTCCCCCCTCCCGGCCCTCGAAATGAAATCTCCCTCCTCCCACCACCATCCCTCAATCCATCGTCACTCCCTCTTCCCCGCCCCTCCCCTCCCCCTCGGCTTTGCCAACCCCCATCGTCACTCCCTCTTCCCCGTCCCTCCCCTCCACCCCTACTCTGCCAACCCCCATCATCATTCCCTCTCCCCCGTCCCTCCCCACCCCCTCGCCTTTGCCACCCTCCATCCTCACTCTCTCCCCCCCATCCTCCAGTACCACCTACCCCAGGGGTATTTACCCCAGAAGCACCCGCTCCAAAACCACCTGCCCCAGAAGCACCCTGTTCTCCTCCTTCCCAACCCTGCCTGTTTTCCCCACTCCACCCGCCCCCCCACCCGCCACTGCCACCGCCCTTGCTTTGCCAACCTGACCCATCACCTCCAGCACCCCCCATCCCTGACGCTCCTGTTGCCCCACCAGCAGCATTAACTCCAGGCCCAATGGGTGTGACTTGCTGCCCATAGCACCATACGGCTGAGGAGCATGAGGGGCATGGGGAACGTGTGGGGAGTGAGAAACCTGGGGAATTTGGGAAAATTGGGGTACTACAGGTCCCCCCACCCCACTGCTTGGCACATTGAACGCTGCTGTGCCTGCTGCTGCTGGCCCGATTCCCGCTGCTGCCAACCCCGATCCCACACCGCCACCAGCACCAAAAGCACCAGCCGTACCACCACCAGACGCACCAACACCAGCACCAGCACCAGCACCAGCACCAGCAGCACCAGCACCAGCACCAGCAGCACCAGCACCAGCAGCACCAGCAGCAGCACCACCAGAACTGCTGCTTCTCCCTCCCAAACGGGTCCACCTTCCCCTCGGCCACCTCTGCCAGCAGCACTCCGCTCTCCTGCCCCTCCCCCACGCGCCACACACACAGGTCCGGGGGAACACGTTGAGGGGCAGCCAGCCGCGCAGGCGCGCGAGGGAGAAGGGCCCCTGCAGGTCGCCCTGGGGGTCGCGGTAGTGCCACAGCTGCTGCTGCTCGAGACGTGAGAGCTCTGCGCGCCAGGCTGATTTCAATTCTGCCTGCTGCTGCTGAAGCTGAACCTGCTGCTGCGCCTGCTGCGACGGCTGCTGGAAGTTTTGCTGCTGAAGCCCCTGCTGCTGCTGCCCCTGCTGGGGGTTTTGCTGCCAGTTTGGGCTGGACTCCTGCTGGTTACCACTGCTCATCCCTGCCTCTCCCCTCCAGCCATCCCTCTCCTCCCTCCGCCCGTCCCTCTCCTCCTCTCGCTCTCTACTCCCTCCACTTCCCTCCCGCCTCCATCCCCTATCTCCGCTCCTGCCCTCTCTCTCCCTCTCCTCTCTCCCCCATCCGTCCCTCCCCCGTCCCTCTCTCCTCTCACCTCGCTCCCTATCCCGCCCCCAACCTCTGCTCCCCTCTTCCTTCTCTCTCTCCAAACCCCTTCCACCTCTCCCGTCCCTGTCTCCCACCCTCTCCTCCTCACGTTCCCCTCGGACACACCCTCCCTTCTCCTCCCTCCTCCACCCTCCCCCTCCCCCTCTCCCCTCCCCAAACCTTCCCCTCCCGCTCCCCCTCCAGCCCCCTTCCCTGTCCGACCTCCCATCATCCCCTTCCCTATCATTCCCCCTCCACCCGCCTCTCTCCCCCCCATACCCCCACCCTCCTCTCCCCCTCTCCTCCTCCTCCGAGCGAGAACCAGAGAGAGATCGAGAGAGGGGGAGAGCAGTATCCTCTTCTCTCTTCTCCCCCCCTCTCTCCCCTCTCTCCCCTCTCTCCCCTCCTGCTCCTGCCCCACTCCCCCAACCGTCCCCTCTCCCCCTCCCACCCATCTCCCCTCCCCCTCTCCCCCCCCTGGGTCGCGAATGGGGGACACCCTGGCTCCAGGGGTCTGGGGGAAGGGAGAAGGGGGAAGGGGGAAGGGGGAAGGGGGAAGGGGGAAGGGAGAAGTGGGAAGCGGAGCAGCGAATGAGTGCACGAGGGTGGGCTAAGCGTTCTGACTGGGGAAGGGAGAGGGGGGGTGGGGGTGGGGATAAGCGTTCTGACCTGGCTCAAATCCCCCTCGTCATCAGAATCCCCAGTGGACAGCAGCATGAGGTCAGGGTCCGCCTCAATGGTTGGGTACTCAGCCATCTTCTTGGCCTTGAAGGCCCGCTTGTCCAGCTCCTTGAGCACACGCACACACTCCCAGCCACGTGTTTGAAGAAGTGTTTTGAGACGTCTCAAAGCACACACTCCCAGCCACGTGTTTGAAGAAGTGTTTTGAGACGTCTCAAAGCACACACTCCCAGCCACGTGTTTGAAGAAGTGTTTTGAGACGTCTCAAAGCACACACTCCCAGCCACGTGTTTGAAGAAGTGTTTTGAGACGTCTCAAAGCACACACTCCCAGCCACGTGTTTGAAGAAGTGTTTTGAGACGTCTCAAAGCACACACTCCCAGCCACGTGTTTGAAGAAGTGTTTTGAGACGTCTCAAAGCACACACTCCCAGCCACGTGTTTGAAGAAGTGTTTTGAGACGTCTCAAAGCACACACTCCCAGCCACGTGTTTGAAGAAGTGTTTTGAGACGTCTCAAAGCACACACTCCCAGCCTCCCTGCTACCCTCCCTAGGCCCTCACCTGTCTGCTTGTTCTTCTCCCCTTCATCATCGGAATCCCCAGTGGACCTCAATGGTTGGGTATTCTGTCATCTTCTTGGCTTTAAAGGCGGGCTTGTCCAGCTCCTTGAGCGCTTGCACACACTCCCTCCCTCCCTGCCACCCTCTCTCCCTCCGTGCCTACCACTACTCTCACCTGTCTTGTTCTTCTCCCCCTCGTCATCGGAATCGCCCGTGGAGAGGTGCATGAGGTCAGGGTCCGCCTCAATGGTTGGGTACTCGGCCATCTTCTTGGCTTTGAATGCCGGCTTGTCCAGCTCCTTGAGCGCTTGCACACACTCCCATTGCGTGGCGCGCAGAACGGTTGAAAGCAGTTGAACGGGATCAATTTATTCAGCACAGGAGTTCCAGATTCGGTGGTTAGGGAGAAGTATGGGGAAGGAGGAGCAGGACGAGGTGGAGAGAAGATGAGGATGGAAAAGGAAGGGGGGGGGGGGGGGGGGGGGGGGGGGGGGGGGGGGGGGGGGGGAATGGAAGTGGAGCCAAGGATGAGGGATGGGATAAAGGAGTTTCGGCTGGTTAAGGAACGCTTGGATGCATTGAGGCTTGCTTGCATGGGATCGACAGCGAGGAGGGGTGGGAGAGGGCACTGGGTAGGGAGAGATGAGAGCTGGAATGCAGAGAAGAGTTTTGAGCCGACTCAAAAGATTGACAGCGAGGTGGGGTGGGAGAGGGTGCTGGGTGGGGAGAAACGAGAACTGGAATGTAGAGAAGTGAGGACAGTAAATGAGAAACCGGTGCGGAAAAGCACGAGCAGAAAAGCACAAGGTCGGGACCACATAAGGGTGGCTGTAGGTAAGGAATGAGGTAAGAGAGGGGGGGGAGTAGTGTCGCTGCAGGAGGATATTCTTTCTTGGATCCGCGCTCGCTGGCCCTGTCCCTCAGATTGGTCAGCTTCACTCGCTCTGCCTCCAACCACTGGGAGGAAGTGAAAGGGGAGGGGAGGAGCAACAGTAAGAGAGAAAGCACAGGGGAGCACAGGGGAGCACAGGGGAGCAGGGAGGGGGGGGAGTGGTAAAGGCTCCAAGTTTTGCTCCCTGGCCCTGTCCCTCGGATTAATCAGCTTAACTCGCTCTGCCTCCAACCACTGGGAGAGTTGGGTGGGAGGGGGGGGAGGGGCAACAGCAAGAGAGAAAGCACAGAGGAGCAGGGGAGTAGGGAAGGTGTGAGTGTGAGTAGCTCGCTGGCCCTGTCCCTCAGATTGGTCAGCTTCACTCGGTCTGCGAGGAAGCTGCATCCAGGAGTAGGTGTCCAACCACTGGCAGGAGTTAAAGAGAATAAGCAGAGACAAACTAGGTGAAAAAAAGGGGTTGGCAGGGGCAGAAGAGAGGGGAGCGGGGGGGGGGAGGGGAGAGAGAGGGAGGGTGAAGGAACGGAGGGGAGGTTAGGGGAGTTTCTGCTACATTGTTTGGCTCATCGATTTCTTATGATACCTGATGCCGCCTCTAAGAATCAACGAGTGGAAACTAGTGGTGAAAAACGTGACGTGGATGGAACACATTACGGCTGAGATTTCAGCTTTCAATACAACCACCGCATACCACTACACACCACACCGCTCCATTCCACTCCACTCCACTCCACTCCACTCCACTCCACTCCACTCCACTCCGCACCGCACCGCACCGCACCGCACCGCACTACCCCCCATTGCTCAAATTTACACACCACTCACATCGTTCACTTTGAGCTCATGCAGCTCGCTCTCCTTGGCCGCCACCTCGTCCTGGCACAGGGGGGAGAGGAGAGAGGAATGAGGGAGAGGGGCGAGCGGAGAGGTTAGAGGAGCGAGTGCATGAGTGTGCTTTGGAGGCAGCACAGCCGATTCACTTTGAGCTCATGCAGCTTGCTCGCCTCGGCTGCCACCTCGCCTTGACCTGCCAAGGAAGGAGTGGGTGGGGAGAGGAAAAACGAATGGAGAGCAGGGGTGAATTTTGTGCACGTGGAATTTGTCATTGGCATTGCATGGCATGGCATGACATGGCATGGCATGGCATGACATGGCATGGCATGGCATGGCATGGCATGGCATGGCATGGCATGGCATGGCATGGCATGGCATGGCATGGCATGGCATGGCATGGCATGGCATGGCATGGCATGGCATGGCATGGCATGGCATGGCATGGCATGGCATGGCATGGCATGGCATGGCATGGCATGGCATGGCATGGCACGGCATGGCATGGCATGGCATGGCATGGCATTGCATGGCATGGCATGGCATGGCATGGCATGGCATGGCATGGCATGGCATGGCATGGCATGGCATGGCATGGCATGGCATGGCATGGCACGGCACGGCATGGCATGGCACGGCATGGCATGGCACGGCATGGCACGGCATGGCACGGCATGGCATGGCACGGCACGGCATGGCATGGCACGGCATGGCACGGCATGGCACGGCACGGCACGGCATGGCATGGCATGGCATGGCACAGCATGCCACAGCATGGCACGGCATGGCATGGCACGGCATGGCACGGCATGGCATGGCATGGCACGGCATGCCACAACACGGTATGGCATGGTATGGTAAGAACAAAGGTACGGCATGGTATGGTATGGGATGGCAATGGCAAAGGCAATAGCAGCAGTAGCAGTGGCAATATTAACGACATGGTCACATAGGCATGGAAGGGCACAGTCAAGAGCAGCATAGAAGCTTAATCGAAGCATAGAAGCAGACACATAGCACAATGGAATGGCACACACGTACCACAGTGAGTCGATCCACTAGCCCCCACTTCATGTACTGCCGCAGCTTCTGACACTCACAGCACATACCACAGTGCTACTGACATGGGCACAGCACATACCACAGTGCTACTGACATGGGCACAGCACATACCATAGTGCTACTGACATGGGCACAGCACAGCATGTGGGTGTTGCAGATCAACTGTTTAAAGGCATGGCAGCACACACATACCACAGTGAGTCGATCCACCAGGCCCCACTTCATGTACTGCCGCAGCTTCTGACACTCCTCCTGTGTTGATTGCGGGGGGAGGGGAGGAGGAAGAAGGCTGAAAGGATACTCACACTCACTCTCACGGACATTCACACTCACTTTCTCTCTCACACACTCGTTCACTTCACAACCACGCACCTCAGTAAAATCCGAGTTAAAAACAAGGTCGATGGCGGTGGCCTCTGGCGTCTTGAGGTTCATGATGAGCAACACCCTGTTGGTGAGGCGCTTGCGACTTGCACTCACTCACACGCTCACACACTCACTCACACGCTCACACACTCACTCACACGCTCACACACTCACTCACACGCTCACACACTCACTCACACGCTCACACACACTCCCTCTTACCTCTGTAAAGTCAGAGTTGGAGACGAGGTCAATAGTCGGGGCGTCTGGTGTCTTGAGATTCATTATCAGCAGCACCCTGTTGGTCCGGCTCTTGTGACTCAACCACATGCTCACACATCCACACATTCACAAGGTAAATCACTCACTGTAACTCACACACGCTCCCTCCTACCTCAGTGAAGTCGGAGTTGGAGACCAGGTCAATGGTGGTGGCCTCTGGCGTCTTGAGGTTCATGATGAGCAACACCCTGTTGGTGAGCCCCTTGCCCACCGGGTACATCTCCGTCTGGCTCGTGCAGCCTGGTGATTGAATGAAGGGAGAGGGAGGGGCAGAAGGGGGGGAAGATATGCGAGTCTAGTTTTGAGGCGCCTCAAAACTAATTATTACATGAAAGGGGAAGATATGCGAGACGGGCATGGAGAGGCGGTGGCAGGCCTCGGTCTGGTTGGCCGGGCCCGGCACGCGGATCCGGACAAAAGTGCCCACCACCTTGCGGCCAAAACCTCATCCGCCACGCCAGTAACCCCTCCAGCTGCCTTCTTCTCCTCCTCTCACCCACCCCTGCTCCCCCTGCCTACACTCTGTCTGTGACTCTGTGCCCCAAGCCAAACACATATCTCCCCTCCCCGTATCACTCACCTGTGACTCGCACAAGGCGGTAACACGCTTCTGTTTGGTTGGCCGGGCCCGGCACCCGGATACGGACAAAAGTGCCCACCACCTTGCAGTCGGTCAAACGCCTCATCTGCCAGCGGCCCCTCCAGCCTCGTGGGCCTTGACCCTGAAACCCATGCTAAAAACAATACTCTGTCCCTCCCCTGTCTCACCTGTGACCCGCACGAGGCGGTAACACGCCTCAGTCTGATTGGCCGGCCCCGGCACCCGAATCCGCACAAAAGTGCCCACCACCTTGCGGTCAAACGCCTCATCCGCCAGCAGCCCCTCCAGCTGCCGTGTTTTCCTCTTCTGACCCATACTCCCGTCCCAATCTCACCTGTGACCCGCACGAGGCGGTAACACGCCTCAGCCTGATTCACCAGCCCCGGAACACGAATCGGCACAAAAGTGCCCACCACCTTGCGGTCAAACGCCTCATCCGCCAGCAGCCCCTCCAGCTGAGCGCCTTGCCCTTAACCCTGACTGAACCCCAAACCCCACACCCCAATATCACCCACCTGTGACCCGCACGAGGCGGTAACACGCCTCAGTCTGATTGGCCGGCCCCGGCACGCGAATCCGCACAAAAGTGCCCACCACCTTGCGGTCAAACGCCTCATCCGCCAGCAGCCCCTCCAGCTGCCTTCTCTTCAGAAACACCCCCCCCAGATTCGCCAGCGTCACTGCCGCGTACCCGCAGTCAGGGCCCGGGGGGGGAGCGGGCGGAGCAGGGGGGAAGGCGGAGGAGGAGGGGGAGGGCGCGAACGGATCGGTCACTTCTGGGGCGTCGGGGTCTGAGGAGAACGGGTCAGAGGCGAATGGATCTGAGTAGCGGCGGGTGCTGTTGGGTTCAGCAGCTGTAGCAGCAGCGGCTGTAGCAGCTGAAGCGGTAGCTGTAGCGGTGGTTGCAGATGGGTTGTCTCGAGAGGCCTTGGGGGGCCGGCCGCGCTTCCTCTTTCGCGGGCTTGGCTCTGGAATAGGTTTTGAATCATAGTCCTGAGCGAATGCTTCTTCCTCCTTCTCCTCCTCCTCCTGCTGTCGCTGCTGGTGCTGCTGCAGCTGCTGCTGTTGTGCGTTACCAGTCTTCATCTGCTCTTCGTTCTCCTCTGCCAGATCATGCTCCTGTGTCACTCCTTCCCTTGAACTCCAGTCCTTCTCCCATGAATCCTCCTCCTCCTCCCTCCTCCCCTCCCCTTCCATTCCTTTTCTTGCCTCCTCCCCCTCCCCCTGCTCATCCCTCTCCCCTTCACCATTCTCGTACTTCTCTCCATCGCCTTCCATCTCACCGTAACTCTTCAACCTCTTACTGCCTCTTGTCACACTCTCCCCTCTGTTTCCCCTCCCCCTACCCCTTCCCCTCCCCCTCCCCCTCCCCCTCCCCCTCCCTGTTCCCCTCCCTCTCCCTCTCCCCCTTCCCCGTCCCCTCCTCCCAGCCGTTTCCCACTCCAAATCCCCGGCCTCCTCGTCCTCCTCCTCTCCTCCCTCCTCCTCCTCTCCTCCTCTCGCCCCCTTCCCCTTCCCCTTCCCCTTCCCCTTCCCCCGCTCCCATCTTAGCAGCCTCCTCCTCTGCTTGCCGCTTCAGCAGCCGCCGAGGCACCTTAACAGAGCTCTTAACGGGGTAGTGCGTGGCGAGAGTGTAGTAAAACTGAGCCTGCGTGCTTCTATCGGTATCACAGAGCGCTTGTAACGCATCGTCGCATGTGATCCACTTACCCTTCTGCAAGAACCACAAGGGGTGGGTGGGAGGGGGGAGTGAGGGACGAGGGGCGAAGGGGGAAACAGGAGAACTGGGTCTGGGTGCTTCTATCGGTGTCACAGAGTGCTTGTAACGCATCGTCGCATGTGATCCATCTGCCCTTCTGCAACAACCACCAGGTGGGGAAGGGGGAGAGAGGAGATGCGAGAGTAAGAAAAGGGAGAGGGGAGAGGCGAGGGTAAGAAAAGGGAGAGCGGAGATGCGAGGGTAAGAAAAGGAGAGGGGAGAGGCGAGGGTAAGAAAAGGAGAGGGGAGAGGCGAGGGTAAGAAAAGGGAGAGGGGAGAGGCGAGGGTAAGAAAAGGGAGAGGGGAGAGGCGAGGGTAAGAAAAGGGAGAGGGGAGAGGCGAGGGTAAGAAAAGGGAGAGGGGAGATGCGAGGGTAAGAAAAGGGAGAGGGGAGGGGAGATACGCATATGTCACCTTAAGGTGAGCCACTGGTCCAACGCTCCTAAAGGGGAGATACGCATGTGTCAACAAACCCCTTTAGGCTCCAACGCTCACCTGCAGTCCGTAGGCTTGAACGTACCCTGCCTCTATCCTATTCACAGCCGACCAGTACAGCGGCACGCCCACACTCTCGCCTGTCTGCACCCCTTTGGCTCCAGTCTCACCTGCAGCCCGTTGGCTTGGATGTACCCTGCCCTGCCTGCCACAATCCTATTCACAGCCGACCAGTACAGAGGCTCATGCACACTCTCACCCTGCACGGAAGAAAGCAATCAACCGCGAATTGCACCCTGCTGCCTCAAGCACTGACCTGCAGTCCGTTGGCTTGGATGTACCCAGCAAGCAACTATCCTCTTCACAGCCGACCAGTACAGAGGCTCATACACACTCTCACCCTGCACGGAAGAAAGCAATCAACCGCGAATTGCACCCTGCTGCCTCAAGCACTGACCTGCAGTCCGTTGGCTTGGATGTACCCAGCAAGCAACTATCCTCTTCACAGCCGACCAGTACAGAGGCTCATACACACTCTCACCCTGCACGGAAGAAAGCAATCAACCGCGAATTGCACCCTGCTGCCTCAAGCACTGACCCGCAGTCCGTTGGCTTGGATGTACCCAGCAAGCAACTATCCTCTTCACAGCCGACCAGTACAGAGGCTCGTACACACTCTCACCCTGCTCCTCCAGAAACGACAGCAACTGCATCAACACACTCCCCTGCTCCCTGCTGCCTCAAGCTCTCACCTGTTAGAGTGCTCACCTGCAGCCCGTTGGCTTGGATGTACCCTGCAACGATCTTCTTCACGGTCGACCAGTACAGCGGCTCCTGCACATTCTCGCCCTGCTCCTCCAGAAACGACAACAGCGCCTCACTCGCCCATCCAGGGTACTCTCCCTCCCCTTCCCCGCCTTCCCCCCCCACCTCTTCTTCACCCGCTTCCTCTCCTTCCCCCGCTTCCTCGCCCTCTCCTGCCTCCTCCCCCCACTCTCCTTCCCCTTCCGTTTCACCTTCCATCTCTCCTTCTCCGTCCCCTCCCCCACGCCCCTCTTCCCCCCCATCCCCCTCCACATCATCCTGCCCAGCCACCCATACCTCCACATCGCCCTCTTCCCCCTCCCGTGCATCCTCCCATTCCTCCTCGCCGCCCCCCCGCGCGTCCGCCCACTCCCCTTCCGCCTCCACCTCTCCGCCATCCCCCTCCGCTTCATCCTGCCCAGCCACCCACACTTCTACATCCCCCTCCTCCCCCCCCCCCCCTTCCTCTCCCCATTCCGCTTCCCCCCCTTCCGCTTCTCCCCCTTCCGCTGCTCCCCCTTGCTCTCCGTAACCGTTCTCCTCCCCAGCATCCTCCTCCGCTTCTTCCTCTCCGCCTTCCTCTTCCTCTGCGTACTCTTCTCCTTCCGCCTCCGCCCCCCTTTCCTCCGCCTCCCCTTCCGCCTCCGCCTCCTCATCCTCCTCTTCCCCCGTTTGTGTCACAACCCCCGTGTCCGCCCTGTCGTTCTCCATCCACTCGTCCGGACCCTCAGCAGAATCACGCGTCGCCAAATTATCCTCGCTATTGTTGGCCGCCATATTGCGTGCAGCGTCTGCGCGGTAGTAGTACAGCACTTACAAATGACGCGGGCCACAGGCGAGACGCACGCAATTTCCCGTCTCCCGGCAATCAGAGGATTTCACGCGATTTATGTCTTGGCTCGCGACGCGCCGTAGGTTAACGTAATTGTTGCCGAGCCAACTGGAACCAGCAGACGAACCAAACCTCGTCAAATGGGTCGGAAAGGAGAACCAGGGTGGCGATTCGAGTGCTGAGGTAAGACTGACGTAAGCTGTCCCGACCCTCTGAACAAGTATTTACTGACACACAACTGTCCTCCTTTCTTCCTTTCTTCAAAGTTATCTCAGAATGATTGCGTAAACTGGTGTGTTTTTTTTTTGTTTTTGTAACTCCATTTATCCCCTCACAATTTTAGAACACCCGTCAGTGAAGACATATAGTTGAGGATTTTTAGGAGCTCTTCTTTCCGTACCCCGCTTCCTTAGCCGCCACACCCCCTCGTCAGATTGCGGGGTTAAGATGACAAAGAGTTGAAAACCATAGCGGTGCGCGCATAAGATTTGTAGATCGATCCTTGGTTTTATCCCTTGCTCTCCTGAACAAAGATACAGTTACTTCGTCCTTCCCGAGTATTCTCCTCCTCGTATATCTGTCTCTTGCCCCATGAAAAAAAACCAGGAAAACAAAATTGCGAACCAGATCGCTCAGAAGCACGTTTGGCTGACAATGGGCGATATGTCTGATTCCGTCTAGAAATCAATAAGGTGAGTCATGAAACAAAGCAATGAAGTCGCAGGTAAGAAAAGCCCACACACAGAGACAAAGCTTGACGTTTGAAAATCGCTGCTCTTCTGGTGTGAGAGAGAAAGCAACCTAAGCTAGCTTTGGGACTGGGTTTGATGTGAGAAGCCTCACGCGATGAGCTATTAACGAGCGGTGAGGGAAAGGGGATGGAAAAGCAGGAACAAGAATCGTGACACCATCGAGTGCTTTGCTGATTTCAGTATATATACATTTGCAAAAGCCTTCCAAAATCCTTATGGATTTGAAAACTGGTTACCATATTACAAACCCTCTTCCCCACCCCCCCCTTCCCCAAAAGCAAACCAAACCCCCAAACCTTTCACAACCCTAATCGCAGTAGCACACCGCGAGAGAGGCAGAAAAGGGCCACCTGGACCATAATCACCAGGTAAGGACGGCATTTCTCTCATCTACTCGCTAAAACATCCGCGACTAGAGGGCTAGGACGCCTGGAAAAGGCGACTGTGTTTACGCGCCTTCGATTACGCGTCAAAAGCCGCGCTCGACCACTTTCATATGAAACTTTCAGTCGCGGCGGTGCCCCCACCTCGATGGAACTTCCAGCATCCACCGCCTTGGATGACGCAGTTTCACTCACTGCGTTATCAGCACCACGGCTTGCGCCAGGACCAGCATCAGCGCCGTGGATGCCACGTGGATCGTTGCGTGGTACGGGAGATCTCCGAAGTTCATAGTTCTCACAGCAGCATAAGTACATTCCGAATCGTCCTTTTTGTCGTTGCGTGCCGTCCCAGCGCGGCCAGCAAACACAATCGCGTCCAAGCGACGCGCCAAACTGATCCCCTTCGTCGTGGCGACGAGGAACGCGATCAGCACGGGCCACGTCATGTGCCCGCACGCGAACAAAACCACGGCTATAACACCAACCGCATTTTGCGTGAATCGATACAAACGCGCCACCCGCTCCGGCCCCAATCGCGCGGTCAACGTAATTTTGCCGCACTGCAGGTCGGACTCGATGTCGGGGAGATTCATGATCATCGTCCGCACCAGCTGCTGCGCGCACAGCAGCGGGATAATCGCGCGGAGCGACGTGGGGAGGACGAATGCGTTGTCGTCGCGGCGCTGCAGCGCGCCCATCACCGGGACGCTGCACGTCAGCACCGCGGCAACGGTCGCTTCGCCCAAGCCGCGATAGTGGAGCTTAAATGGCGGCGCGGTGTACGCCCAGGAGAGGAACAGCGTCGCGCACGCGACGCATTGCGCTGGAGCGCGGAAGAATGCGAATTGCGTGACGACGCTCCCGATGAGCAGCACGTTTGCCGCGGCGAGCGCCAGCCAACGCGGCAGCAAGCCCTCGGGAAGCACGCCCGAGCCGCCATTCCACTTGCCGCGTTGCTTGTTGGCGAGATCGGCCTCGTAGTCAAAGTATTCGTTGTAGTAATGCGTCATGACGTGCGTGCACGCCACGAAGAGCGCCACGGGAACGAAGTTCTCGATGCGAAAACGGAACCCGTGGTTGTGGCTGATGTCTCGTGAGAGCGCGCCCATGAGAGCGAGCATGGACGAATACGGAATGAACTTGAGTCGCCCAAGTCGCATAAGAGCGCGAAACGACGACATGTCTCTATGTCTCTCTTGCCTATGTGTGAGCAAGGTTGGGTGGATGTGAGACGAGACTCTGGGCGTTCCCGGGGACGGCCTGGACATTAGCCACTCCAATGACGTGTAAAAGCAGCCTTGTGACGTTAGCAACAAATAACATCTGCACTCGCGCGCCAATGAATTTCGTGCGCGAACAAACGTCTGCGACCTGTTCGACGTTGAACAAGCCAGGGGACGCACCCTCGAAAAAATTATTTGCGGAATCGACAATCCTCGCACGCATGGGGTATGCAGTGCCAAACTCCCTACCAACACAAACATCCGCTACTTCAATGCAACCATCCCTGTGGCTTTTTGTTTTCCTATGCCCCAAATGGTTTTGGCCCTCATTCTGGTGTTTACAACAGCGCCATTACAGTTGCACGTTGCGTCAACTACACTACTGAACATCAGTCGTGCGAAAACGTCGCACGGCTGTCGGTGGGCTACCTCGTTGAAGGCACGTGGCCCCAACGCTCAAATGTCCAGACGTTTGGCGTTTGGCCATCCCCAGGAATGCCATCTGATTTGTGTGTGGTTTGATGCAAATGTGAGCACATGCAGAAAAGATGAACTCGATAGGACCTTTATAGGGTGAAACTGTAACCGTGTGGGCGAAACTCGGCAAGTCAGAGTTTCGTGGATAAGGGCGTAACGAAAGGGTTACCACGACACAAGATGTCGGCCACTGTGTGCTTCCAAGCACCTGGTGCCCTTGAAATGGGTCAACCGCGGGCATGCCGGCGATGTCCGGCAGCCGCCCAGTGGGGTGCTGGGAGGAAGGTTGCGAAGGCAGAGAGTCCAACCAGAGTCAACAACAGTTGACCCTCGTTTGGGCGTTTCGCACAAAAACTGCACGCGTGGGGGGGAGCTAGCAAAAGGGTGGTTGGTCGGGGCACCTCAGAAACATTTTCGCGTCTCCTCCCCCCTTCGGCCCAAAATTTTAGGTCCTTCCGTACCCGGTCAATTCCACAGGCATGCAGATTATGCCAGTGCGGGTTTGCGATTGTATGCAATTGACGGAATCAAAGGAAACATGTCGGCCCGGCGGAAAAACCACGGGGTTACCCGTGTTTAGGGTTGAGGCTCCCAGATCGTATGTCATCCGGACGGGGTATTTTTTTTCTGATCGCGGGCAGTTAACGGTTCTGCAGCGCCTTTACCGACGGCCGTCAGTTGCATACATTCGCAAATCGCACTGGCAGAATTCGCATGTGGATGATGTTGTCCCCTTCCATACCGAAAGCAAACCCCCTGAAACTGCAGGAAACCAACCAAGCAGCAGCCATGGATCCACGTGGCAGTGATGGCTAGCAAGGCGACATCAATAGCGACATCGATAGCAGCATTGATTGCGGCAACGGTAGGATTCATACGCTAGGGTCTGCTCCGACTCAGCGGCGCCGACTCTCACGCTGCGTCTCGTTTCATATCAGAGGACGATTATAACCGCCGCGATGCAGCTCATGTCCAATTCCCGTCTGCCAGGAGGTGCCTCCGCCTTTCTTTCCGACATTCTTTCCGGCCTGCTTTCCGCCATGCTTTCCGCCTTACTCCCTGCTCGGACCACGAATGGCGGTCTCTTCATTCGGAATGAAGAGCCGTGTGAAGACAACCCTCGTATGAGCGCGCGAAATGTTCCCTCACCTTTTGCCCACACGCTTCCACCGCTCGCCAATCAGACCACGAATGGCGGTCTCTGACGGTCGAATGAAGAGCCTTATGAATTCAACTGAGAGCGCCTAACTTATGCTACCGTACCATACCTTACCTTACCTTACCTTACCGTTCCAAGCAACCTTCGTCAAGGCGCGCCAGCGCGCGTTGCTTCGACAGACCCCTGTAGGCGAGTCACACTGACTCTCGCGGACCCAGTAACCTGCCCTCTCAAGCAGCTTTACTGTGACGATGTTTGTAACGGTGCTTCGTTGCGCGCAGACTTCCACCACGCTGACAGCTTGGTCAGCGTGGTCAGCGTTGTGCGCGGAGAATGGAGCTTTCCGTCTGCCTGTCGGATGGCGTTTTGAGTGCGCAAGAAAATGACCGATCGTGGTTCTGTAACCCATAACAATCTTACGACCGATTTAAACGACCGGTCTGAGTTTACCCAAGCAGCTGTTAGCCTGACGCTCAAGTTGACACCAGCAGTCGTTCTCTCTGTGCAGTAGCGAGGTCTCCAGAGACGGCGCTAGCCCACGCTGCGAAGCGTTCGTCCGTACAGCTGTGTCCTTTGAGTCTTGCTTGTTACCGATTACGCGAGCAGAATCGCATTAGTACTGCCTCTCGCCTCACACCTCGTTCGTGCGAGCTGAAAGCTGCCGCTGGTGCTGCTGTTACTAATGGCGCGATCATTCGGCGCCGCCGTCGCCTTGCTCGTCAGCTCCTCGCTCCTCCTGACGAGTAAGCATCTCAACATGCAATGTCTTTGATTTCCTTTTAACGCTCCTCCCCTCCCAGACGCAGAATATCGTGTCCCTCCTGACAGCCAGTTAATCGGCTCAATCAGCTTCACAGTCACGCGCTTCACAGTCACATGCTTATTCCAGGCTTCTCACCTCCCCTTCGCCCCATCTCCCCTCCCCTCCTTTCTTCGCCCCATCTCCCCTCCTTTCTTGCTTATTTCTTTCTTCCCCTCCCATCTCCCCATCCCCCCCCCCCCTTTCCCCCCCTTCCTTCCCCTCCCTCCCCCGTCCTTCCCTCCGCCCTTCCGTCCTTCCCCTTCCCCTTCCCCGCCATGCGCAGCTGCCTGGCTGCAGCAAGCACAGGTGAGTCGCGAAATCTGTCCTCCCCTGCTGGTAACCCTATCGCCACTTTCGCTTTCCAGTATGCTGAGCAGTCGCCTTGGCTGATAACATCTCGTGTCTTCATGCTGTCACATTATATCACTTTGGCATATTTTATTGTTCAATTCAACCGGGGGCTAGCTTTATGGGGTTCTAGAGAGCAGCTATTTTGGTGGTGCTTTTGAGAATTCTCATAAGCACTTTTAACCGGGAACTAGCTATACGGGGTGGTCCTAAAAAGCAGAAATTAAGTGTTGATTGATATGAGTGAAACTCAAAACATGAAGTGCCTTCACTATGCGTTTGGTCTATGCAATATCTGCAGTCTTCAGCCCATCTTCGTTTGATTCTAACTGTTACTTCCACGCGTTAGGTCGCCCTGTTCACCAACCCCTGGAAAACCTTCTGATCCTTTGAAACACCTTTGCTGGGTCGGAAGGATTCTACCCTCCACCCACCAGGCTGCCTCGTATACCACCCCTTATTGGGTAGCAAGGATAGGGTACCACCATTCAACCCTTGGTGTACCTTTTGATCCTTTGAAATTCAGTGCTGGGCCGGACGGATTCTACCCTGCACCCACCAGGCTGCCTCGTAAACCATACCTTAGTGGGTAGCAAGGATATGGTACCACCACCCTACCCTTGGCTCGAAACTGTTTTTCCTGCCTCTCTGTTTTCCCTGCCTCTCTGTTTTCCATCCACCAGGCAGCCACCTACACCATCCCTTGGGATCTCATCAGGACGAGAGGGGTGCAGCCTCCGGATTTGGTAACTCGTGGCGATACAATTGGTAGGTCGCACAGTTGCACCATGTACCACTCGACTCTCCATATCCCGCATCTCTAACTCGCCCCACTCCGTATCTTTCTTTGTGACAATGGAGTAACCGTGAGATCCGCGTATTATGACTTGTGGTTATGTCCAGATGATGTAAGGTTGGTTTGCAGACGTGTCACGATCAGGGATAGTTTATGAGTGTTGGCCGGTAAATATAGGCCAGCCACGCACCATGATGCATGAGTCACCACTATGCATCCCTCTTAACCCATGTATTTCTCATTCTCACGGTTGACTGACGTGGGCATACATGGCATGTTTTGGTATCATGATCCATGAATGAACGATCACCAAGCACCATACTCATGAGCCATCAGCATGCATCATCATTCAGAGCTACAACACATGTGGCATGATGAGTGAAATATTATCCACTTACCACCACCCATGCCATGTGGCATGTCTTCCGACCCGCCCGTCCAGTGTTCAAGTGGACGGAACTGGCATGGCATGATCTGTGGATTGCATCCTCTCACCTCCACCCATGTGATGTGTCCTCTTCCGTATGTCCCTCCCCTACGGTGTTCAAGTGGACGGACCTGGCATGGCATGACCTGTGGATAATGGACGATGAGAAGGTGCCTCATGTAGATTTTTGTATGCTCACCACTGCACTTGCACATTCCTCACGCACTCTGTTCCTCCCAAGCCTTTAGTGTTCAAGTGGACGGACCTGGCATGGCATGATCTGTGGATAATGGACGATGAGAAAGCGTTCAAGAGCTGCGACTTCACTCGGGCAAAGCGCCTCCGACCCCTTGTTGTTGGCGGGCAGTACACGTGAGTTGGGGCAGCAGTAAGGGCAGTACCCGGAAATTCAGGACAGTGTGGCATGCCTGGAATGAGTGAGTGAACCTGGCCATATCGAGCAATGTCTAATTCTGACATGGAGTTCCAGGTTTCTACCTTGTTGATTGAAAACTGCTCTGCCCTTCTTTTGAGGCACCTCAAAAGCAGTTCCATGTTTCTCGCTTCTTGAGTGAAAACTGCTTTGCCCTGCCACCAGCACAACTGCTGCCAATTATCACTGTCGCTAACAATCCCAGTCTTACCGTACTATATGACTTCCACCGTTCCCACGGCTGTATTGCAAGTACTGGTGCAAGGTCACTGCCATCCATCGCTGTCTCTTAACAACTCAAGACTCTCACTGTGTGTACAAGGTGACTGCCATCTAACAACTCTCCCGTTACCAATTTCTCTGTGGCTGGCAGGTACAAGGTCACTGCCATCTGGGAGACTTTTCCACTCTATTTCGCCTCGAGTGGCATCCTGCAGTGCCGCTACTACAAGGTGAAGCTGCCAGTCGTGGTCCACAACCTTGGATGATCAGGCAGCATTAGCTGCCTGCTCTACTTGGCCTCCATGGATCTTGGACCAAAACCCTGGATGACTACAGAAAAACGCTCAGTTATAGTGGGTATACCAACAGAGAAACTCTACGAAGTACTATATGAAGTGTGCCAATTAGGTAGTACAATGTCTTTCTGAGATTCTGAGTTATTTACATGGGTGTAAAGAGGATCAATGATTTGTATAAAGAGCAATGCACTAATATCAACTCCTCGATCGGCTTTTGGATGTTGTTCACAAGCTAAATCCGTGTTGGCCGCCAGATTTCGAATTCACCCTTAGAACCGTGACGTGGAATGGTTCAGCCAATCTGCTGGATTCCTCGGCTTTGGCCTTGACAAAACCGAACTCACTCGACGAATCGCGCTTGCCGAGTCATCCAAACTTTACCCCGAACCAGGATTTGTCGCACCAACTCCCCTGAGAGCCTCGAGGAAGCCGAACCTTGTGTGGCCCGAACTCTATGTAGGCTCGGAAGAGTCTAGATTTCCCTGCCACGCAGACTGACCAATCAAAACCTTGAATTCTGGTTTTGTGCTAGCCTCGAAATTCAAAACATCCGAAGTGCTCGGCGCGCTTTAGAGCAGCTGTCATCAATGCTTTGCAATGAAGCCATGGCGGCTTTTCCCCATTCCTCCTTTATTGGCGGCTCGCAGCTATTTTTCCCCCACTCCTCGTGAAGCTTGATAGGAGCGTCGGGACGGGATGTGACACATATTTCCTGCGAGCCGATTCATTGCTTGTATTAGCCCCAATCACGACGCACTGCGTTTCTTCTTTCTGGTTGCGAGTCGATTTTCCTAATCATCTTCTACTTGTATTCGACCCGAGTCGATTTTTTTTTCAATAAATCATGACCGCGGCTATGGCTGGGTTAGTAGCATCCCTGCCTCTGCGGTACGTCACGATCAGCGTACCGAACGGAAATGCCTCACAGTCCTCACCGAAATCGGCCTCCATTTTTGAACGAAGCTCGAATCTAAGAATACGAAACCCGGCAGCAGCTTTAGGAGAGCGACTGGAAAAGCGGAACCAGGGATTCAGGAGGCGCATCGTGCGAGTGAAGGCGGAGGATGGCTCTTCAACTGCCAAAGGCGGTTCGGAATCCGATAGTGAAGTTGTAAATTCGGTGAAATCCGGAAAATCCGGCGTGGTTGGCGAGAGCAGCGTTCCTGTGCAAGCACAACAAGAGAAAGATAAGGATATTGATGAGGAGGAGGAGAGAGAAAAGGAGCGGCGGAGACAGCAAGCACTGCGGCAAGCGGCGAGACGGGCGGGGACGCCGCCAACCAGCGCAAGCGGCGCTGGCGGCGGCAGTGGCGGCGCGGAGGGCGGGAAGGAGGACGACGGGGCGGTGAAGGGGGGGTTGCTGATGGGGCTGGCGGAGGCAATCGAGGACGCGTTTGGAGCTACCAGCGATGGGCGGGGCGGCGTTGACAAGCTGGATATTGCCAAGGTGAGAGCCAGTGGGGGTTGGAAACACATCACACGTGAAGCGGTGATGGGGCTGGTGGAGGCCATAGAGGACGCGTATGGCGCTGCCAGCGATGGGCGGGCTGGCGTTGACAAGCTGGATATCGCCAAGGTGGGTCCCTGTGAGGGGTGGGTATGTTTGTGAGTGTTATCAAGGGAACTGGAGAAGGGGAGGTGAACGAAGGGCGGGGAAGAGTGGACTGCTGATGGGGCTGGCGGCGGCCATAGAGGACGCGTTTGGCGCTACCAGCGATGGGCGGGGTGGCGTTGACAAGCTGGATATTGCCAAGGTGGGTCCCTGTGGAGTGGTATGGGGGCTGGTGGAAAGGTGGATATTGCCAAGGTGATAGTGGGTCAGGGGCCGGTGCGGAGTCAGTGAGGGATGAGGATGGGTGAGGATGGGTGTGTGTGTGAGTCACTCAAAGGAACGTGAAGGACTAGGGATGGGTGCAGCAGGCAAGACTCACTGGAGAGTCGCTTGGGTCGCCTCGTATGTGATAGTGGGAAAGGGACAGATGGATATCTTTTTACCGCCAATGCCACTTGCGCGCACCTACGAAGCGGTCCAAGGTGGACACTCATTTGTTCCCACTTAACCCCCTCAACAACCCCTCCCCTCCCCTCCCAGCCCTCCCACACAATTCCGAATTCCGCGTTCCCATCCAACCCCCATTCTGGCCTACAGACTCCCGCCCCTACGGCTTAGGCGCACTGTTCCGCCCCTTTCCTTTCCTTTCCTTCCCTCCCTTTCCTTTTCTTACCTCTCCCCCATCCCGCTTCCTTCAGCTCCGCACCTGCTTCTCCTACACCGACTTCTGGCCCACAGGCTCCCGTCCCTACGGCTCGGGCCTGCTGTTCAGCAAGGCACTATCCCCTCTCCTTCCCGTGCCCTCTCCCTCCCCTCCCCCACTCCCGTTCCCCCCACAACACAACTCTCCCTACCCCTCCAGCTCCGCACCTGCTTCTCCTACACCGACTTCTGGCCCACAGACTCCCGCCCCTACGGCTCAGGCGTACTGTTCACAGGCAACCTGCGCGCTGCTGACGTGGCGGACGCACGGGAGAGGCTGGAGACAAAACTGGCCGAGGGTGCTGGTTGCCCCGTGGCGGTTTTCTTTCTCAAGGACGAGCGGCGAGAGAAGGAGGTGTGTGGGTGTGAATGGGCTGGTTATGCTGTGATGGGCGAGACTTGGCGAGGGTGCTGGTTGCCCCGTGGCGGTGTTTTTCCTGAAAGGCGAGCGAGCGGAGAGAGAAGGAGGTACGTGGTTGGGTGGTGAGAGGGGGTATGGAATGGACTGCATTCTTGGCACTAGCGGGTCAAGTGAGAGAGGTGAGGCTGCAGGCGAAGCTGGCTGAGGGTTCATGTGGTCAACCCAGATTCGCCTGGACTGGACTGGATGCCCTGTGGCGATTTTCTTCTTGAAAGACGAGCGGAGAGAGAAGGAGGTGGGTAGGGGCGTGGGGTGCATGAGCGGCACCAGCAGGTTCAAGTGAGAGGGGAGAGGCTGGAGTTAAAGCTGGGCGAGAGTGCTGCTTGCCCCGTAGCTGTGTTGCCCCGTAGCTGTGTTGCCCCGTAGCTGTGTTGCCCCGTAGGGGCGTGGGCTGAACACTCACTAGCAGGTTCAAGTGAGAGAGGTGAGGCTGCAGGCGAAGCTGGGCGAGGGTGCTGGATGCCCTGTGGTCATGTTTTTCCTAAAAGACGAGAGGAGGGAGAAGGAGGTGTGTTTTGTGGGTATGGGGCAGTGGGCTGTTTGTGGGTCAGTGGTGGGTCGTGGGTGAGGTGAGGCTGTTGAGGGGAGAGGTTGGAGGCGATGCTGGGTGAGGCTACTGGTTGCCCCTTGGCTGTGTTCTTCTTGGAAAAGGAGCAGAGGGAGATGGAGGTGGGCGTCCCTCAAGTAAATGTCACAATTCGGTCACACTTGGGTCACTCTTGGGTCACACGCGGGTCACACGCGGGTCACACGCGGGTCACGCGCGGGTCACGCTCGGGTCACGCTTGGGTCACGCTTGGGTCACGCGTGGGTCACACGGAGGTCACTCTTGGGTCACTCTCAGGTCTGTCTCTGGTCAATCTCTAGGGTCACTTTCAGATTTTTCACTCGTGGTCACACTCTGTTCACCTTTGGATCACTTTCGGGACACTCTCAGACACTCGAGGTCACTCTCCGTTCACCCTTGCCACCTATCCTTCACCCACTTTACCTCTCTCTCCCTCCGGCCACCCTTCGTTTTCCACTTCCTCCCCCCCACGCTCATCCCCATCCCCATTAGGGTGCATCGTGGATCCAGTAGTTCAAATCCTGCCATGCCTCGTCTCCTCACCAACCTCACCGGCCTCTCAAATCCATCACACGCCACCTATCCTTCACCCACTTTATCCCTCCATCCCTCTGGCCTTCCTTCCTCTTCCACTTCCTCTTCCACTTCCTCTTCCACTTCCTCTTCCACTTCCTCTTCCCCATCCTCAACCCATCCCCATGACGTGTGCATAGTGCAACCAGTATCGTCCATCAGTCACCGTCACGCCACGCCCTCACAACTCTCACCAGTCTCACTTGCTTCTCCCTCTGACCACTCATACTTATCTCCTCGTCTCTTGCTTTCCCCATTTCCTCCTCCGTTCCTGCTGCTCTCACTCCTTTCCATCTGTTCTCCATCATTTCCTGCTGCTTTCCCTCCTCTCCCGCTGTCTCTTCTTCCCCTTTTTGTCCCCAACCACCCATCAGGTGTGCATAGTGCAGCCAGTATCCTCCATCAATCGTCGTCTCGCCCTCACCACTCTCACCGGCCTCTCCCGCTGGCCGCTCATGCTGCTCTCCCTGCTGGGCTGCCTCGCCACCACTGCCACTGTCTCTGGAGTCAACCTCGACCCCTATAAAGTTGGGCTGGGGGAGTCAGCGCACCACGCCCTTCCCCTCACCCTCGGCCTTGCCACAGTCATCGGTGTGGGAGAGGTGAGCTCCTTTTCTGCCCGCTCTCTCACTCTCCCCTCCGCCTGCCCTCCTCTCTCTCCTGGCCTGCCTCGCCACCATTGTCACCGTTTCTGGAGTCAACCTCGACCCCTATAAAGTTGGGCTTGGGGAGCAGCTTCACCACGCCCTCCCTTCAACTCTCGGCCTTGTCACAGTCATTGGTGTGGGAGAGGTGAGTGCTTCCTATGCCTTCTCCCGCTGGCCTCTCATACTGCCCACATGCTCCTCTCTCCCTACTGGGTTGCCTCGCCACCACTGTCACCGTCTCTGGAGTCAACCTCGACCCCTATAAAGTTGGGCTTGGGGAGTCAGCACACCACGCCCTGCCTTTAACCCTTGGCCTTGCTACAGTCATCGGTGTGGGAGAGGTGAGCTCTTTGCCTTCTCTGTCCTGCTTGCCCTTCCGCCTGCCCTCCTCTCCCTCCTGGGTTGCCTCGCCACCACTGCCACTGTCGCTGGCGTCAATCTCGACCCCTATGGCGTTGGTGAGTTGCCTCACCACGCCCTCCCCCAGGCTCTCGGCCTTGCCATAGTCATCATTGGCCAACCCCACTCACATTCCAGTGCATCATGGCTCTCTCCCTCAGCTAAATCCTATCTCCTCTCCTGCCTTTCCCAAACACACTCGTTACTTACCGTTCCCCACCCTCCATTCCACTACCCCAATCACCCCCCCAGATCTTCCAACGTATTATGGCGGGTCGATACGGGGTAAAGCTCTCCCCGCCCTACCTCCTCCCTGGCCCCCTGGGCTGCCACGGCACTGCCACTCGCTTCGAGTCTCTACTACCCTCCTCCCGGGTAGGTGGTGATGTGACGATTGATGTCAGGGGTGGATGGATGGTAGGGAGGAGTGTCAGGAATGGGGGTATGGCCTGCGTGTTTTGAGAAGTCTCAAAACATGTGAGGGAAGGATGGACGGTTGGAAGGAGTGAGAGGAAAGGGGGTATGGCCTGCGTGTTTTGAGAAGTCTCAAAACATGTGAGGGAAGGATGGACGGTTGGAAGGAGTGAGAGGAAAGGGGGTATGGCCTGCGTGTTTTGAGAAGTCTCAAGACATGTGAGGGAAGGATGGACGGTTGGAAGGAGTGAGAGGAAAGGGGGTATGACCTGCGTGTTTTGAGAAGTCTCAAAACATGTGAGGGAAGGATGGACGGTTGGAAGGAGTGAGAGGAAAGGGGGTATGGCCTGCGCCTCTCCCCATTCTCCTCCCCCCCCCCCCCCACCCCACCAGGCGCGTTTGACATGTGTGCAGCAAAGGCAATGGGGTCGTTCATGACATCTCTACACGTGAGTCCTATCCATTCAACTCAGAGACCCTTTCCCCATTCTCCTCCCCCCCATATCCACCAGGCCCTGTTTGACATGTGTGCAGCCAAGGCGGTGGGGTCATTCATGATCTCATTCGTTCTAGCGTGTGTGGTGCTGGGGTCACTCATGACTCTCTCTCCCCGCTTTTTCTCCAACTCTCTCTCCCCTCTGTATCTCCAACTCTCTCTCCCCTCTGTATCTCCAACTCTCTCTCCCCTCTGTATCTCCAACTCTCTCTCCCCTCTGTATCTCCAACTCTCTCTCCCCTCTGTATCTCCAACTCTCTCTCCCCTCTGTATCTCCAACTCTCTCTCCCCTCTGTATCTCCAACTCTCTCTCCCCTCTGTATCTCCAACTCTCTCTCCCCTCTGTATCTCCAACTCTCTCTCCCCTCTGTATCTCCAACTCTCTCTCCCCTCTGTATCTCCAACTCTCTCTCCCCTCTGTATCTCCAACTCTCTCTCCCCTCTGTATCTCCAACTCTCTCTCCCCTCTGTATCTCCAACTCTCTCTCCCCTCTGTATCTCCAACTCTCTCTCCCCTCTGTATCTCCAACTCTCTCTCCCCTCTGTATCTCCAACTCTCTCTCCCCTCTGTATCTCCAACTCTCTCTCCCCTCTGTATCTCCAACTCTCTCTCCCCTCTGTATCTCCAACTCTCTCTCCCCTCTGTATCTCCAACTCTCTCTCCCCTCTGTATCTCCAACTCTCTCTCCCCTCTGTATCTCCAACTCTCTCTCCCCTCTGTATCTCCAACTCTCTCTCCCCTCTGTATCTCCAACTCTCTCTCCCCTCTGTATCTCCAACTCTCTCTCCCCTCTGTATCTCCAACTCTCTCTCCCCTCTGTATCTCCAACTCTCTCTCCCCTCTGTATCTCCAACTCTCTCTCCCCTCTGTATCTCCAACTCTCTCTCCCCTCTGTATCTCCAACTCTCTCTCCCCTCTGTATCTCCAACTCTCTCTCCCCTCTGTATCTCCAACTCTCTCTCCCCTCTGTATCTCCAACTCTCTCTCCCCTCTGTATCTCCAACTCTCTCTCCCCTCTGTATCTCCAACTCTCTCTCCCCTCTGTATCTCCAACTCTCTCTCCCCTCTGTATCTCCAACTCTCTCTCCCCTCTGTATCTCCAACTCTCTCTCCCCTCTGTATCTCCAACTCTCTCTCCCCTCTGTATCTCCAACTCTCTCTCCCCTCTGTATCTCCAACTCTCTCTCCCCTCTGTATCTCCAACTCTCTCTCCCCTCTGTATCTCCAACTCTCTCTCCCCTCTGTATCTCCAACTCTCTCTCCCCTCTGTATCTCCAACTCTCTCTCCCCTCTGTATCTCCAACTCTCTCTCCCCTCTGTATCTCCAACTCTCTCTCCCCTCTGTATCTCCAACTCTCTCTCCCCTCTGTATCTCCAACTCTCTCTCCCCTCTGTATCTCCAACTCTCTCTCCCCTCTGTATCTCCAACTCTCTCTCCCCTCTGTATCTCCAACTCTCTCTCCCCTCTGTATCTCCAACTCTCTCTCCCCTCTGTATCTCCAACTCTCTCTCCCCTCTGTATCTCCAACTCTCTCTCCCCTCTGTATCTCCAACTCTCTCTCCCCTCTGTATCTCCAACTCTCTCTCCCCTCTGTATCTCCAACTCTCTCTCCCCTCTGTATCTCCAACTCTCTCTCCCCTCTGTATCTCCAACTCTCTCTCCCCTCTGTATCTCCAACTCTCTCTCCCCTCTGTATCTCCAACTCTCTCTCCCCTCTGTATCTCCAACTCTCTCTCCCCTCTGTATCTCCAACTCTCTCTCCCCTCTGTATCTCCAACTCTCTCTCCCCTCTGTATCTCCAACTCTCTCTCCCCTCTGTATCTCCAACTCTCTCTCCCCTCTGTATCTCCAACTCTCTCTCCCCTCTGTATCTCCAACTCTCTCTCCCCTCTGTATCTCCAACTCTCTCTCCCCTCTGTATCTCCAACTCTCTCTCCCCTCTGTATCTCCAACTCTCTCTCCCCTCTGTATCTCCAACTCTCTCTCCCCTCTGTATCTCCAACTCTCTCTCCCCTCTGTATCTCCAACTCTCTCTCCCCTCTGTATCTCCAACTCTCTCTCCCCTCTGTATCTCCAACTCTCTCTCCCCTCTGTATCTCCAACTCTCTCTCCCCTCTGTATCTCCAACTCTCTCTCCCCTCTGTATCTCCAACTCTCTCTCCCCTCTGTATCTCCAACTCTCTCTCCCCTCTGTATCTCCAACTCTCTCTCCCCTCTGTATCTCCAACTCTCTCTCCCCTCTGTATCTCCAACTCTCTCTCCCCTCTGTATCTCCAACTCTCTCTCCCCTCTGTATCTCCAACTCTCTCTCCCCTCTGTATCTCCAACTCTCTCTCCCTCTGTATCTCCAACTCTCTCTCCCCTCTGTATCTCCAACTCTCTCTCCCCTCTGTATCTCCATCTCTCTCTCCCCTCTGTATCTCCATCTCTCTCTCCCCTCTGTATCTCCAACTCTCTCTCCCCTCTGTATCTCCAACTCTCTCTCCCCTCTGTATCTCCAACTCTCTCTCCCCTCTGTATCTCCAACTCTCTCTCCCCTCTGTATCTCCAACTCTCTCTCCCCTCTGTATCTCCAACTCTCTCTCCCCTCTGTATCTCCAACTCTCTCTCCCCTCTGTATCTCCAACTCTCTCTCCCCTCTGTATCTCCAACTCTCTCTCCCCTCTGTATCTCCAACTCTCTCTCCCCTCTGTATCTCCAACTCTCTCTCCCCTCTGTATCTCCAACTCTCTCTCCCCTCTGTATCTCCAACTCTCTCTCCCCTCTGTATCTCCAACTCTCTCTCCCCTCTGTATCTCCAACTCTCTCTCCCCTCTGTATCTCCAACTCTCTCTCCCCTCTGTATCTCCAACTCTCTCTCCCCTCTGTATCTCCAACTCTCTCTCCCCTCTGTATCTCCAACTCTCTCTCCCCTCTGTATCTCCAACTCTCTCTCCCCTCTGTATCTCCAACTCTCTCTCCCCTCTGTATCTCCAACTCTCTCTCCCCTCTGTATCTCCAACTCTCTCTCCCCTCTGTATCTCCAACTCTCTCTCCCCTCTGTATCTCCAACTCTCTCTCCCCTCTGTATCTCCAACTCTCTCTCCCCTCTGTATCTCCAACTCTCTCTCCCCTCTGTATCTCCAACTCTCTCTCCCCTCTGTATCTCCAACTCTCTCTCCCCTCTGTATCTCCAACTCTCTCTCCCCTCTGTATCTCCAACTCTCTCTCCCCTCTGTATCTCCAACTCTCTCTCCCCTCTGTATCTCCAACTCTCTCTCCCCTCTGTATCTCCAACTCTCTCTCCCCTCTGTATCTCCAACTCTCTCTCCCCTCTGTATCTCCAACTCTCTCTCCCCTCTGTATCTCCAACTCTCTCTCCCCTCTGTATCTCCAACTCTCTCTCCCCTCTGTATCTCCAACTCTCTCTCCCCTCTGTATCTCCAACTCTCTCTCCCCTCTGTATCTCCAACTCTCTCTCCCCTCTGTATCTCCAACTCTCTCTCCCCTCTGTATCTCCAACTCTCTCTCCCCTCTGTATCTCCAACTCTCTCTCCCCTCTGTATCTCCAACTCTCTCTCCCCTCTGTATCTCCAACTCTCTCTCCCCTCTGTATCTCCAACTCTCTCTCCCCTCTGTATCTCCAACTCTCTCTCCCCTCTGTATCTCCAACTCTCTCTCCCCTCTGTATCTCCAACTCTCTCTCCCCTCTGTATCTCCAACTCTCTCTCCCCTCTGTATCTCCAACTCTCTCTCCCCTCTGTATCTCCAACTCTCTCTCCCCTCTGTATCTCCAACTCTCTCTCCCCTCTGTATCTCCAACTCTCTCTCCCCTCTGTATCTCCAACTCTCTCTCCCCTCTGTATCTCCAACTCTCTCTCCCCTCTGTATCTCCAACTCTCTCTCCCCTCTGTATCTCCAACTCTCTCTCCCCTCTGTATCTCCAACTCTCTCTCCCCTCTGTATCTCCAACTCTCTCTCCCCTCTGTATCTCCAACTCTCTCTCCCCTCTGTATCTCCAACTCTCTCTCCCCTCTGTATCTCCAACTCTCTCTCCCCTCTGTATCTCCAACTCTCTCTCCCCTCTGTATCTCCAACTCTCTCTCCCCTCTGTATCTCCAACTCTCTCTCCCCTCTGTATCTCCAACTCTCTCTCCCCTCTGTATCTCCAACTCTCTCTCCCCTCTGTATCTCCAACTCTCTCTCCCCTCTGTATCTCCAACTCTCTCTCCCCTCTGTATCTCCAACTCTCTCTCCCCTCTGTATCTCCAACTCTCTCTCCCCTCTGTATCTCCAACTCTCTCTCCCCTCTGTATCTCCAACTCTCTCTCCCCTCTGTATCTCCAACTCTCTCTCCCCTCTGTATCTCCAACTCTCTCTCCCCTCTGTATCTCCAACTCTCTCTCCCCTCTGTATCTCCAACTCTCTCTCCCCTCTGTATCTCCAACTCTCTCTCCCCTCTGTATCTCCAACTCTCTCTCCCCTCTGTATCTCCAACTCTCTCTCCCCTCTGTATCTCCAACTCTCTCTCCCCTCTGTATCTCCAACTCTCTCTCCCCTCTGTATCTCCAACTCTCTCTCCCCTCTGTATCTCCAACTCTCTCTCCCTCTGTATCTCCAACTCTCTCTCCCCTCTGTATCTCCTCTCTCTCCCCTCTGTATCTCCAACTCTCTCTCCCCTCTGTATCTCCAACTCTCTCTCCCCTCTGTATCTCCAACTCTCTCTCCCCTCTGTATCTCCAACTCTCTCTCCCCTCTGTATCTCCAACTCTCTCTCCCCTCTGTATCTCCAACTCTCTCTCCCCTCTGTATCTCCAACTCTCTCTCCCCTCTGTATCTCCAACTCTCTCTCCCCTCTGTATCTCCAACTCTCTCTCCCCTCTGTATCTCCAACTCTCTCTCCCCTCTGTATCTCCAACTCTCTCTCCCCTCTGTATCTCCAACTCTCTCTCCCCTCTGTATCTCCAACTCTCTCTCCCCTCTGTATCTCCAACTCTCTCTCCCCTCTGTATCTCCAACTCTCTCTCCCCTCTGTATCTCCAACTCTCTCTCCCCTCTGTATCTCCAACTCTCTCTCCCCTCTGTATCTCCAACTCTCTCTCCCCTCTGTATCTCCAACTCTCTCTCCCCTCTGTATCTCCAACTCTCTCTCCCCTCTGTATCTCCAACTCTCTCTCCCCTCTGTATCTCCAACTCTCTCTCCCCTCTGTATCTCCAACTCTCTCTCCCCTCTGTATCTCCAACTCTCTCTCCCCTCTGTATCTCCAACTCTCTCTCCCCTCTGTATCTCCAACTCTCTCTCCCCTCTGTATCTCCAACTCTCTCTCCCCTCTGTATCTCCAACTCTCTCTCCCCTCTGTATCTCCAACTCTCTCTCCCCTCTGTATCTCCAACTCTCTCTCCCCTCTGTATCTCCAACTCTCTCTCCCCTCTGTATCTCCAACTCTCTCTCCCCTCTGTATCTCCAACTCTCTCTCCCCTCTGTATCTCCAACTCTCTCTCCCCTCTGTATCTCCAACTCTCTCTCCCCTCTGTATCTCCAACTCTCTCTCCCCTCTGTATCTCCAACTCTCTCTCCCCTCTGTATCTCCAACTCTCTCTCCCCTCTGTATCTCCAACTCTCTCTCCCCTCTGTATCTCCAACTCTCTCTCCCCTCTGTATCTCCAACTCTCTCTCCCCTCTTCTCCATCCCACTCCCACCAGGCACTGTTCGACATGTGTGCAGCCAAGGCTGTGGGTTCATTCATGACATCGTTCGTTCTTGCGTGTGTGGCGCTGGCAGCTGATGGGGGTGTTGATGGGGGGATCGACCCCATGTGAGTCCCTTCCCTGCCATCAACAATTCCTTTCAGATAGGTATAAGAAGGTGCCGTCAGAAGCTCTGGTTTTCCAACTTCGAACTTTTGTCACGTTTGCACATCTGTTTTACATTGACATGTCTAAAATGTAGTCTGTAACCCACTCACTCCACCTCCACCCACATTAAATTTGCCATAACCTCTGCCACCCACTCCACCTCCACTTTGTCTTGCTTATCATTTGCCCTCAATGCCGTGTAATCAAGAGAAGCTACTAGCCGCCCTTTTGTCACTTCGGATGTTATTTTTCTCATTTCCCAAAAGTTGTTTTCCTCTCGATATACGGCACGCATGGATCGGAACCCCATAAACTTCATGCGCGACTCGCTTTACGAGACGTGTACGCATGAGAGCATTTCTCAAGTAATTTCGGTACAGTGACTCCTTCTGGTCGCCCCTCATGAACACATAAAATACAAACACGGCAGTCTATCTGGCCTCGAATATGCTCTCCTTCGACTGGTCAGTCCACCTGCCAACAGCGTGAAACATCCTCTTTGGTTGTTGCAGTATTCGTTTACAATGAACCAATGAAGTTGTTCCGCGCTATTGTCAGGTGGCCGGATCATCGAAGAAAAGCGTATGCATGCCATGCATGTTGCACTGTTCGCATTCTGTGTGTTCAAAAGGTCGATTAGAGGAGTTACTGTACAGAAAGTACTTAAGAAAAGCTCTCATGCATTGACACCTCATGAATCATTTCGTTTTTATCACGCATCTTCTCAGAAGAAATCCTCTTCTCCATCTCTCTCCTTGCATTCCCCATCATCAACAAAATGTCATGCCTACACTCTTCCACCATCCCTTTATTCTTCTCTGCTCTTCCCTCCCAACTCTTCCTCTCCTTCTTCCACTGTCTTTCTCCCCCCATGTCCCACCAGGTACATCAAGCCGTCCTTCTTCGCCCCCAACCTCCTGCTCTCCTTCATTCAGGACATCATTGGCCCATACTCCTTCCTTGTCCCTCTCCCCTTCCCCCCTCCCCTGACTCTCCTCTCCCCCCATTGCCCCAACCAGGTACATCGAGCCGTCTTTCTTCGCTCCCAATCTCCTCCTCTCCTTCATTCAGAACATCATCGGCCCATACTCCTTCCTTGTCCCTCTCTTTATCCACCCTTTCCACCGCTCTCTCCTCCCCATTCTTCTCCCCCCCATGTTCCACCAGGTACATCGAGCCGTCTTTCTTCGCACCCAACCTGATGCTTTCCTTCATTCAGAACATCATCGGCCCATACTCCGACGACCTGGGCAACGTCATGCCAAACGCCGTGGAAGGGCTGGGCGTGCCCGTCAACCCACTAGCATTTGCAGGGCTGCTGGGGTTCGTCATCACGGCGCTGAATTTGTTGCCAGCTGGACAACTGGATGGGGGGCACATGGTGCAGGTATGATGGAGTGGGCGGGGGAAGAGGGTGATGCTGGCTGGGGTAGGGCTGCTGGGTGCTGGAGGGCTGCTGGGGTATGTGATCATGGCACTCAGCTTGTTGCCTGCTGGGCAGCGCACATGGTGCAGAAGGGTGGTTGCAGTGGGTGTTGCTGGGCTAGGCATATGAAGAGGACAGGTTTGCTGGGAGGTGGAGAGGGGCCATGGGTGGTGGCACATGGTGTACGTACCTTGTTGCTCTGCCATCCCCTGTATACCTCCCACCCAACACCCACTCTCATCATAATGATAGCTCTCCTAGGTATGCTCTACCTCTTCTGACCCTTCATCGTCCTCGCCTCCCCTGCCTGCCCTTGCCTTTGCTCCCCCTTTGTAGGACCCTTTGTGGTCTGAAGAAGGCTGACACGCCGAAACCGGTTACCACGGAATTTTATTTCAAGAGCTTTTTTACACCAGCACACAAAACAACTTTCAAGGTGTCATCCCTAAGAGTTGCTGCCACGTATTGAAACCATGGCACCTAACTGGTGCTCAATTGGCGCAAGGCCAAAATCACCATTCTTATCACTCTAGCCCTGCTAGCCTTAGGTGGTGTGCTCTGCCTCTTCTGGTCCTCCATCATCCTCCCCTTCCGCTACAGTGAGGAGCTGCCCTTACCCTTCCCTCTACCTCTACCCTCTACCTGCTAACCCCACCAGGCTCTATTCGGCAGGCGCAAGGCCAAGATTACGACCTCATCACTCTAGCGCTAGTAGCCCTGGGAGGCTTCTCCGGCAGTGTGCTGTGCCATTCCTGGGCCTTCATCATCCTCGCCTTCCCTGCTTCCCTTTGCCTTCTGTCACCATGCCCTCCTATGCAGGCCCTATTCGGTCGGCGCAAGGCCAAGATCACCACACTTATCACTCTGGCCCTGCTGGCACTTGGTGGTTTCTCCGGCAGTGTGCTGTGCCTCTTCTGGGCCTTCATCATCCTCGCCTTCCGCAACAGCGAGGAGCTACCGTCGCTCGACGAGATCTCGCCACTTGGCAGAGGGCGATTCGTGCTCGCGTGGATGCTGCTCAATGGCAGTCTGCTGCTGCTGCTCCCTAAAAGTGGCGGCACGTTCCCTTCGTTCCTACCCACGGATTTCTAGCTGTGCGTGGAGACAGGTGTCTAGTCTGGGGGCAAGAATCTAGTGTGTGCCAATTCGTGCTCGTGTGGATGCTCCTCAATGGCAGTCTGCTGCTGCTGCTCCCCAAGAGTGGCAGCACTTTCCCTTCCTTCCTGCCCACGGACTTTTAATCGTGTGTGAAGGCAAGTGTCCTGGCATGGAAAATAATGTGTCAGTTTGTGCTCCCGTGGATGCTGCTGAACGGCAGTCTGCTGCTGCTGCTCCTCCCCAAGAGTGGTGGCACGTTCCCTTCATTCGTGCCCTGCCCACGGATTTCTAGTTGTGTGTGAAGGCAGTTGTGTAGTCAGGGAGCAGAAATTAGGTCTAGTCAGGAAGGGGATGCAAGGCCTGTGACTCGGGTCGGGATGCTGCTGAATAGCAGTCTGCTGCTGCTGCTGCTCCCCAAAAGTGGCGGCACATTCCCTTCATTCCTGCTCCTGCCCGCCGATTTCTGAAAAGTCGTACGGTATTAAAACTCATCTTGCTCCTGAATGGCAGTCTGCTGCTGCATCCTTGCAGTGGGGCTAACCAACTTCTCTTCTTTCCTCTCTATGGATTTCCGAGCGAATCATGTCCTTACCATGTTCACCCCTCTCAGTTGTCGTACCGGTAGTACATTATCAAGATCAAGGTGTTATTATATTGGCAGAGGCCAGCACCGTTCGCATAATGAGGAGATTGGATTAAAAAGCACATTGCGTGACAAGAATATATACAAACATCGACGATGAAATATTGCAGCCAAGCTCGCTCTTCTTGAACCAAGCCCATATGGAGCAGTATACTACTTAATGTACCAAGGCGTGGCAGTGGCCAGTGCGGGATGGAAGGCAGCATCAAATGAGAAGTTGCAAAAGCCCAAGGTGGGGGTGCAAAATGCAGCAGCTGGTGGTAGAGACGTGGAGGCACTTGCTGCTGTTGCTGAAGAGGCAAAAGCAGGGGTGCAAGGGCCAACCGCAGGAGCAGATGAAACGGTGGGTGTTGGAGGCTTGAAGAGGCTCGCAGCTGTTGCTGTGTTGCTGAAAGCAAACGGGGCAGTCGCAGCAGCAGGGGAGGTGGAACTGAAAGGAGAAGCTAAAAACACTAGAGGCTTGGAGAAAAGTGCTGCTGTTGCCGTCTTGCGGAGAGCAGAAGTGGCGGGCACAGCAGCAGGGGAGGAGAATCGAAAAGGTGAATCGCCATAGGTCAGATGATTGGAGAGGCTTCCTGCTCTCACACGCCAGACAGTGGCAGGAAAAGGGTTGGCACCAATTGCGGCTGGGTTACCAAGAAAAGGAGGAGAACCAGCGCGATCCGGAAAGGAAGCACCAAAACCGGAAGGCGAAGTGCCAGTGGTGGGAGTGGAAGAGTTAGAAGCAGCAGTGGCAGTGACAGCACCAAATCCAGGAGTGGCAGGCCGAGGAATGGTGGCGAAATCAGCACCGCCAGAAGCAGCAACCTCGGAAGCAGGTGCGGTAGCACTGACAGGGGACGTAGCAGCGTTAGTTGCAGACGGAACGGCAGCAGCAGATGAACCAGCAGCGGTTGAAACAGCGGCTGTAGATGAGTCGCCAGCAGATGGAAAAGTAGCAGCAGATGAAACGGTAGAGACAGATGAAATGGCAGCAGCAGTTGGAACGACACCCGTGGATGAAGCGGCGGCAACAGCAGCAGAAAAAGCAGTTGATGCAGGCGGAACGCCAGCAGCTGCTGCTTGCAAGCTGAGAGAGTCCATCACGGCGGCATCAGAAATAACTGATTCTACAGGAGTAACAGCGGTGACTGCTCCTCCAGAAGCGACGGTAACTGTATCCGCATTGTCAAATGCCTTTCTCGGAGTTGCAGCAGCGGTGGTATCAGTGGTAACTGCCTTTCCCGAGGCAGCAGCGGCTGTGATATCATCAACACTAACAGCACTACCAGCGAGCAGAAGGGAGGATGGAGGACTAGATTTCTGTTCGGAACAGGAGGGAGCGAGTAGCAGATCGTCAGTGCTGACTGCAACCGACGTGCTGACGGTTGGGCGGCACTTGAGATCCGATTTGACGGAATCCGTCAGTTTGACAGTCGTCGAGTCGCCGTCGCTGCCAAGACCAGATTTTACGTTAACGTCAGCGTCAGAAACGTCAAAGGCGGTCTCAACACGTAGCACACTTAGTTCCTGGGAAACAAATGCGTCATAAATGTCCTCGTCCGTGAAAAGCGTGATGACGTCACCGTCGGCGTCCGTGTACGTCAGCGACAGCGGCTTGCTCGCGGGGATGTCGAGAGACGCGCGAATCCGCAGGCTGACGTGGCGGAACGACGGAGGGGAGCAGCGAGACGAGATGCGAAGCACAGAGCCATTGCAGTTGACCTGGAAAGGAGGGGGGGTGGAGGGTGAGTAGGAGGGAGAATGGGAAAACAGGTTAGTAAGAGGAAAGGGGGTGGGAAATAGAGCAATGCTTTGCAATGGGGAAAAAGGCACATAGGTCGATGGGAGGTATGCCGGACCGCTCTTGCATGACGAAGGGTCGCCTCGAGACGATTTGTGTCGTGCCACTCATCCGAGTAAACGCCACAAACCGACTAAACATTCGTTTCTGATGTTACACCTCATCCGAGTGTGATGAAAACGCCAAAACAGACGATAGAAGAAGCAGCAATCAGCACAGGATACTAAGAAACGCGAGGCGCAGACGTAGCGATACGTGTAGGGCATCTGGAGGCTAAGTCTCGATTATCGACGAGTTGAAGCGTTATTTTAGGGCAAAGAGGCTGGCGAGATTTTTTGAGTTGGGACGCCTCAAAGCGAGATTTTCTGCTCACCTTCACGACATAATTCAGGGACGACATGTCAACGCTACAGGCGCGAGGGTGATGTGACGTGGGAATCGGCTAGGAAATTTGAGCACGTAATTACTCCAACGAACGAAAGTCTGACGAAGGCAACGGCTAGTACATGAATTTTAACTGGGAAAAGCACTCCTCCTTTCTATCAGAGAGAACTGGATTTGCGATCTTTTCGGATGCACAATCAAGTTCAAGGCAATCGACACGAACAAACCAGACCTGACCTAGCCAGAACTATCTGAACCGAACCCAAAAATTAAGTAGCTACAATCAAACCGAGCCGAGCACACTTTTCCGTGCCAATTCCCGCCTCCGCTTCACAACCAGGACAAATTCGCGAACCGCACTTTCTCCTGATTCGCTTTGACTTGATGCTGAAATTTCGTTGGCCCTTGCTTCGGTGCATCCGCAGTGCCGCCAAAGAATGCAAATTGGCGAAATGACGCGCGTCGGCTGAAACAGACAAAGGATGGGCCATGTAGCGTGCCGCGTACAGGATTGGACCGACCTCATCGGAAAAATTGCGTGACGCGACAGACCCCGAACTTCTCCTAAACCCATCGACCAAGCTCGCACCGCAGGTAGGGCGATCCGAACCTCGGCCAAATGGATCGACCTACATGCGCTTTTGCGATAAAGACTGACAATTCTGATGCGTGAGAGTCGGTGGTCCCTCTCGATGTCATTGTTTCGGAAGCGCTATTATGTTTGGCGCGCGTGCCACGTTTCTTGTTTACTGGAATATATACTGCGCGGGCAAGAAAAAAAAACCCCATCCGGATGGCATGCTATTCAGGAGCCTCAACCCTAAAATTTTAGGGTTGAGGCTCCCGAATGGCATGCCGTAAGCCATGGGGTTTATTTTTTTTGCCCGCGGTCAGCATGCTGACTCAATCGGTAGCGTCGTGTAGCGAAATCAAATATATATATTGGAAGAATTGGAACCTCAAGCTGCAATTTCGCGATTCTGACCGTAAAACCAAATGGCACCTGTAACGGCTATTTACAGCTTTTGCAGCATGAAAATAACGTGAAAACGCATGTACCGTAGGTCGATCCATTTGGCCGAGGTTCGGATCGCCCTATCTGTGGTGCGAGCTTGGTCGATGGGTTTGAGAGAAGTTCGGGGTCTGCCGCGTCGCGCAAGTTTTCCGACCTCATCCTTCATCGAGTCGCCTCCGAAGGTTACGACGTGTTGCAGAACGCCTCAGCTCGGCACGGATCGGCTCGGAATTGCTCTTCACCACTCATCAAAGCTCAAAACCAGTTTACACCGCGGCTGTGGTGCGTGCCAGCTGTGCTGTGTGCCAGTTGTGGTGCGACCCTGTTCAGGGCCTCATTAGTGTACCACCGTAAAGGGTCCGTGTACAAGGCATAAAGTGTACAATACAGAGTCATTACAAGAACAATCAAAAAGCTTCCATGTTGTATGTATCACATGCACAGCACATACATTGGAGGCAGCATCAATCAGCAGTATGTGCATGCGATGCACTTGTGCCAGTATATGGAGCGATCCACTCCTAGCGCTCAGAATTGAAAGCGGCAGCTTTTTTTGACTTGGATTTTCTTGACTTGTTCCTTTTAGGGTTGGAAAAGGCAGCTTCCTGGAACCTGGACGAGCTTGCTTGTGTCACGTAACTCTCGTATGTGGGGGCAACAGGCGCAGAGTAGTCGTCACAAGCGTAGTCATCACCAGCGTAGTCATCACCAGGGTAGCAATCATCAGGTGCTGCGGAGTAGCTGTAACCAAATCTGGGACCGTAACAAAAACTGGGACCGTAACCATAACTGGGACCATAACCGTAGCCATAGCCGTAGCCGTAACCAGGGGTATAAGAACCTTGAGCAGGATAGGAAGCCCGATAAGCAGGAGCGAGGCAAACGCCGCGAGAATAACCAGCATACGCAGGAGCGGAGACAGGGGCAGGAGGGGGGGCAGCAAAAGGAGGAGTGGATGGACCAGAAGGTGACGACGCAGTAGCAGTAGCAGAACTAGTAGAAGTAGAAGCGCCAAAGCCAGAGGTAGATGCCGAAGTGCCACCTTTTTTGGACTTGGAACGACCTTTTTTGGAAGTGGAAGTACCTAATTTGGAAGTGGAAACACCAAAGACGGAAGTGGAAGCACCAAATCCGCAAGTGGAACCACCGAGCCTGGAAGTGGAAGCACT